TACCTTGCTTCCTTTTTTGTTAATGAATCTGTTCTTATTTTATATTGACTATTTGTCCATGTTTTGACTTTATTTTTATGCGTGTCGTTATTATGTTCTTCTCTATTCTCTCTTTCTTGGAGTTTAGTGCCTGAGTTGGTGTTTGGGAATATTTCGTTAAGATGTATTCTAGACCAGTTGGCCTGTTCATGGAACACAGCTGTTCTGGAAACTATAAATTTGTTATTACTATCGATAAATCTGTATCCTTTTGTACCTGTCTCGTATCCCATAAATCTAAGTCTTCTGGATACGTTTTCACCTTTGCGCCTCAATTGTTTAGGTATGTGTACATCTGCAGTGACTCCAAATATGTGCATGTGTGCTAGTTTTGGTTTTCTGTTATACATTGCTTCATATGGTGTCTTATTTATAATACTGGACCAGGTTCTGTTTTGTGTGTAATTAGAGTATTGTAGGGCTTCTGACCAGAATTGTTTACCTAAGCCAGCATCCTCTAATGTGCATCTAATCATGGTTTGTAATGTTGAGTTCTTTCTCTCTACCACTCCGTTTTGGAATGCAGAAAATGGGCTAGATGTGTAATGTAACATTCCTTTGTCTTTTAGCCATTGGGAGAATTCCTTAGACATGAATTCACATCCCCTATCTGTCATGATTTGTTTTATTTTAATATTGTGTTGTGTTTCTATACGTTTGTAAAACTCCTTAAATTTCTGAAAGGTTTCATCTTTATGTTTTAATGTGTAAACAAATCCATAACGACTATAATCATCCACAATGGTTAGAAAGTAACGTTTTTTATAAGTAATTGATGGTGTTAATGGACCAACTAGATCCATGTGTACCAAATCAAAAATTTTGTTAGTTGATCTTGTTGACTTCCTAGGTCTGGGACTAGTTTTGAGTTTTGTAGATTTACATACTGAGCATTCCAAATAGTTTTCACAATTTTTTATTTTAACACCTTCTGCATGTTCAGTCATCTTTTGCACCACAGGAAAACTGGCATGTCCTAGTTTCCTATGTAAAACATGAGCACACTCATCGTGAATTGGTTTACCTATTTTAGGTTTTTTTTTATTGTGTGTATCTTTATGGTTATGAGTTACTTCATGTTCCTCATTGTCACTGTTACTATTGTCTTCATTATCTATTTCATTGTCATCTTCCATATTTGAATCAATGTTGTTTAACCATTTCTCCTTTGTCATTAAATAAGGTAGACCTCCTTTGATTATTACTGTGCCTATGTTTGTTCTGTTTTTCTCTAATGTTGCCTTTCCTTTTGAGAACACAATGTTAATGTCAGAATCTCTGCTTAGTTTTATCGCACTAAGTATGTTATGAGGTATCTCAGGTATTAATAATACCCCCTCTACTTTTCCTAGACCTGGTAAGATTACATTCCCTCTACCTATTACTTGAACCTTTTCTTGATTAGCTACTTTGATTACAAATTTATCTTCTACAAAAGAAGATAATATATTTTTATTATTTGTAGTGTGATTGGTTGCTCCAGAATCAATAAGCCAATTGTTGTTCTCTGGTTGTTGTATGTTAATGTTGTCATGTTTGTCTAGTCCATTCAGTGAACCAGACTTTCTATCCTTTGAATTGTCTCTGCCCCCTCTACGTTCTCTATAGTTGGGTGGACTTCTATACCTATGTCTATCAATGGAAGATTGTCTGTTGTTGTACTTGTTTCTATATTCTGGCCTGTGTCTTTCTCTTAGAATTTTAGGACAATCCCTTCTATTATGTTCTCTGGACCCACAATCGTGGCATCTAAATGGTTCATAATATCTTTCTTGAAATGCTTCCTTTTTATGTTGTTTGTGTTCTATGTGGTTGTTATAACGACTCCTCCTTGAATTGTCTTCAGCTATTAACTTGTTAGATAGATTTTCTATGGATAAGTATCCTAGATTGATTGTGTCTAAATGTGACATATAATTATCCCATGATGGGTCAAGTGAGTTGATGATAACACTTTTCATTGTTTGATCTGAAATTACCTCCCCCCTTAAGTGCAGTTCTGCTCTAATTTTGTTTAAAGATATTAAATGTTCACTTATGGAAACCCCTGGCTTTATCCTAGAAGAGAAGAAATCTTTAGACATTCTTGTGGTAGTGGCTACACTTTCACTGTGGAATAAATTAAACATGCATTGAATAATTTCTGAGACAGTCAGATTTTGCTTAATACTGTGATACATGGCTGGGGATACACTGGAAATCAATAAGAAGAATGCTCTATGGTGTAGGCAATCTAACTTTAGAGTCCAAGGTCTTTTTGGGGGGTTAGTAATAAAGAAGAGTAAATTTTCTTTCATAAAGACAACTTGGAGCTGCTGATACCATTCTTGCAAATTAATGCCATCTATTCTCAGCTTTGGAAAGTCATTGGGTAAATTCCCAACATTGTTGGGTCCATTACTTACAACCGGAGGTAGTCCGTGGTCTTGCAAATGACGAAAGTTGCAAAACGGCGTGGGGATGCTTGTGACGAGTTTGCATGATTCTCTCCGCATCTCGTGTCTCCCGAAGTTGTCTGCGTAGTCTTGCGCATGCGCGTTGCTCATTTCGTTTCTGTAGTCAACGTGAGAGGTTCTCGCTGCAGCAGCTCTCTCGCTCTGTTCTTCTCCCGATGAATCAGTCTCCGGCTCGATTTTTGGAGTCCTGGTGATAGCGGGCGCTCGTTTTCTTTCGCTGAAGGTGCTGGTCCTTGGATTAGTCTGCGGCGAGGGGCAGTATCTGCAGGGCTCTCTGGGCTCAGGCGTCGGTGCTCTCGCCATCTGGATAGGAGCGGGTAGATTTTGAGGCGTTAGCTCGCTCGCTTGTTTTTTTGTTGATCTTTTAGTGATCTTCAGTTTCGGTCCAAATGCTGCAAAAAGCGTTTTCATTGCTGATTTTACTTGCATGTCTATTGAATCTTCTTCGTTTTCTGTGTCTGATTCTTCTGAGGTATATATTTTTTTCTCTTTCATTTTTGCATCGGGTAAGGCTTTTCGCGCCAGATATTTTGAATCCTGCTTTCCGATTGGCTCTGCTTCGCTCATCTTAGGGGTCTGTTGAAACCAAGATGGCTGCCATTCGAAAATTTGCGCGGGATTGTTGGTTTTCTTCTTCGTTGCGTTTTCATCTGCAATCATATTACTCACTATTTTTGAGTCTTTTGATTTTTCAGTAGCGATGTGCTTCTCTTTCGCTGCTCCGTTGTTTTTTAGTGTATCTTGGAGATTTGCGACGAGACTTTCATCGCTCTTTTGGCTTTTTAAAAGTTTCAGTATCTCTGACCTGAGTTCGTTGTTTTCTATTTCGTTTTCTTCTTGGTCATCATCTTCATTTATTATTTCTTCGTCGTCTGTGGTGTATTCTTCGGATTCTCTCGAAATTGCATTCGTGGACTCATCGATTATTTCTTGATCCGCTTCCATTTCTTTGCTGTATGCCCTGGTGTTGGGCCTATCTCTTTTAGACATGTTTAAGTTTTTTATTGAGTCAATTCAACCATCCTCTGCTACCAGATTGTTACGATATTTTCAGGATCAGACTCAATAAATAAGTTGAGAGTTATAAATTCAAATAAATCACTATTTATTTACATAAGGCATTCTATATTCACTGAATATTCACAGATAGAAGCACAAAATGGACGTATGCGGCTCCTTATATATACAATGGGTGGAGCTAGATATGGGAGTGGTGAAATATGAATACATTAAGAGGTGAAGAATAAGTTAACCCCTGATACCCTGTTCATGTACTATTTACATAATGGAGAATAAGGCATTTACTTGTGACAGAGCCTTTATCTTAAAACAATACATTAGTGCAATAAATGACAAATTTCAAATATCTGCCTCCAATATACATGACTAGTTTAGATTTGCAAAGCAGTCTCTGGATTAGAGGTCTTAGTTTGACTAGCTGGCACATTGTCAGCAAGAGAATGGTAAAATGGGGCTTTGGTGGCCTTTATAGCAAACCAGGGGTGAAATTCAGCAGGTTCTGACAGGTTCTGGAGAACCGGTAGCGGAAATTTTGAGTAGTTCAGAGAACCAGCAAACCGTCTGGCCCCAGAGTGGAGTGGGAATGGAGATTTTGCAATATCCTTCCCCCAGGAGTGGGGTGGGAATGGAGATTTTGCAGTATCCTTCCCCTGCCACGCCCACCACACCACGCCCACCACACCACGCCCACAGAACCGGTAGTAAAAAAAAATTGGATTTCACCACTGTAGCAAACTGCCCAAAATGTGCCAAAGCCGACTTTGCTGAGACTTTATCTTGCCAAAACCACTATTGAGAAAGTCTCAACTCAAACCAAAGCCATGTGGAATACCAGAAGCGCATTTCCATGGGCCGATCAGTGATAATTAACTACCGGTATTGGACAAATGCCCGTTCTATTTCCTTTGGTTTAGCATGCGTCTATTCTGGAGATGGGTAAGCCACGCACGATCTGAAATCCACGGGGAGCACTAGCTAAAATCTCCCTGGGATCCTGTTCGGGGGGAGGCGGGGCAAGAGCGCCGAATGACGTCATCGGCCAGCTCGATCGGGGAATCTTGTTTTTTGCTCTGGCACGTGAGCGGTTTACTATAACCGAGGCTGACTTTTCTGACTGCTGTTTGCAACACGTTAGTTTAGCGGATGCAACCCGTCAACCTGATCTAGTTACTAATTCCCCAGGCTTGCATTTCTTTCTTTCCTTCCTCGCAATTCCCATTTCCACGTAGCGTTTCTCCTTTCCTGCTGGAGAACACCGGCGGCTCCCATAGAAAGTATCAGGAAGGGGATCCTCCTGTTCGGAAGCAGCGGGGACTGCAAACTAAGGGTTGGGGGCGGGGGGGAACCCCCAAAAACCATCGCCAGTGCTGGCGTGCAAGTTTTCCCCCCAAGAAAAGAAGGGATCGGGACCTTCGGGAACCGGATCCAGCGATTCCCACGTTCAGAGGCGCTCAGGAGGTTCCGGGCGAGAAAATCCCTCCACTCCCTTCCCGAGGTTGTACTTTAGTTCTTTGCCTTCCCCGGTTGGGCTTCTGCCCACCCCGAAGCCCCAGGAGGCGCGGCCGAGTTACGCGGCGGGGCGAGGCGAAGCTACCTTCTCGATTGAGGGCGGGCGGGCGGAGGGCTTTTCAACCGGCGCCGTACCGGATGGGAGGAGAGACCGAAGGCGAAGGGGGCTGAGCGTGGCTAAGCTTCCCGGCTCCATCGATCGGCTCCTTCGGCGGGACGGGAGGCGATGGCCGCCGCGGCTGCTGCTGCTGCCCTGATCGCGGCGCTGCTCGGGCTCCTGCCCGCCCAGACGAGCACCGGCGCCGCAGGGAGAAGCCAACCCGGAGAGGCTCAGGTGAGGCAGGCAGGGATGCCGGAGTTCGGGACCTAGCAGAGTTTAGTCAGCCGGAAAGGAAGAGAGAGAGAAAGAGAGCGCTCTGTACATGCCCAGAGACACGATCCGCATTAGATCTCGGCCTACCGTCCCTTAAGGACTAGATGAAGAGGTAACTTTCATCATAAAAAGTGAAAGAAGTGACTTGAACGAGGCTGTGGTTCTAACCGCAACAATGCCCTTCATGCTATATTGAGGTTTTCCTGATGTGTGGGTCTAAAATTCCTTCCTAGAGAAAATGGAAATCAAGCTAGTTGGAGAGCCCCAGACTGGCTCCTGTGTTCCTGATCTCTGACAATGCTTCCTTTGTGTAGAGAGGCTCTATTAACTCTCTACCTTAATAACTGTTTTTTTTTGTTGTTGTTGTTAGTTGCGAAATTCCGCCAGGCTTTCCTGTCCTCTACCATCCTCTGGAGTCCATTTAAGCTCACACCAACTGCTTCGGTGACTCCATCCAGCCACCTCGTTCTCTGTCATCCCTTTCTTCTTTTGCCCTCAATCGTTCCCAGCATTGGGCTCTTCTCCAGTGAGTCCTTCCTTCTCATTAGGTGGCCAAAGTATTTGGGTTTCATCTTCAGGATCTGGCCTTCTAAAGAGCAGTCAGGGTTGATCTCCTCTAGGACTGACCGGTTTGATCACCTTGCAGTCCAAGGGACTGCAGGAGTCTTCTCCAGCACCATATTAACTGTTAGTAGAATTGAATGTCCATAGAGATTCTCAGTCATCCAGGTCATAGTTGTCCCAACTATGTGCTTTTTTTCAAGAGGCAACTGGACTTTCTGGTTTTTCTTTGAAGACATTTTGCTTCTTATCCAAGATGCTTCTTCAGCTCTGACTGTTAGTACTGTCCTTGGTCACTCCTTTCTTTTAAAGCCATTTAAACTGATACCCATGCTGCAAGCCACTTTGATTAACCAGGCTCCAGGCTAGAAAGTGGGAGACTGAGAGTTCTAGTCCCACCTTAAACACAGCTGGGTGACCTTGGGCCGATCACGCTCAGCCCTGGAAGAAGACAATGGCAAACCATTTCCAAAAAACCTGGCAGAGAAAACTGCTGGGTCTTGTCCAGCCAATTGCCAGGAGTCAATGCTGACTCAAAGGCACCCCCCTCTACTGTGGTCAAAGCCAGAACTGCAAAGAGACATCCCTGGAAAGGGGCGTGTCAAAAAAAATGAAGAAGGCAGCCACAACCATGCAACTGAAGCCCCATTCCCTTTTTATGTGGGCCACATGTGCGTTGTAGTCTCAGCACTCTTCCAGGGGAGAAGTTGCAGTTGGCTGCTCAACTCTCGCCATTTACACCTCAGCTATTTGTAAAAATAATAAAGGTGGGATACAAATAAAAAAACAGAAGAAATAAATAAAGACAGCATTGCTGGCTGAGAATGATGGGCATTGTAATAGAACACATTTGGAGAGCGCCAATTTAGAGAAGGCTGACTTAATATTGGCTTCCACTGACACGGATTCTATTTGTGTCATGTTGTTGCTATGTCATTTCAAGTATTCCCCCCTCCATGTCTATGTTCTATCATGGAACTTCGATAAAAATATACCCCTTTAAGATGTCTCACCTACAATAGTGGCCAAAATTGTGGAAACCTTTTGGGGAAAGTGTATTTTCTAAAACTAGCTAATAACACCACTTTTTTTGGGAGTAGTGCCATAAAATTATATATCAATGGAAAGATAATTTAATCAAGAATGTAATGCAATAACTTTTATGAAGGGTTTGCTATTAGAATAGCAGTTACAGTATAAAGAAGAAAAGTGAAACACGTAGAAAAAAACGAGATATACAATTTTTTTTAAAAAAAATCTTTATTTACAAAACATTAAAAACAAAAGAAGAACAACACATCATATAAATAACAAACAAGACAATACAATACCAACCAACAAACAAAAAAACAAAAAACAAAAAAGCAAGCATACCTATAAACAGTACCTTAATAAACTAGTATTCGGTACTGTATATCTATATTATAATCTGGAGAAGACAAAACCTTTATAAAACAATTAGGTCTATCCGACCTCACTTTACTTGTATAATATAAGTTTCTCAATAGATATAATTCCTCATCTAATCTGGGTTATATTTTCCTCTTCTCTAGCCACCTATAGAATTTTTCCCAAGATAAACATATTTGTGTTTGGTCTCTGTCTTTTAATTTTTTGGTCAATTTATCTGCTTCTGCACAATCTAAAATCTTCTTTATAATAGCTTCCTCTGATGGGATATTTCGATTTTTCCAAAGTTGAGCGTACGTCAATCTCGCTGCTGCGATGATGTGTAATGCAAGATACCATAAGTCTCTTTTAATACTTTCCGGCTTGGAGCCGAGCAGGCATGTCTCTGGATGCCATTCGATCTTTTGATTTAAAATCTCATTCAGCCATTTTTTTATTTTCCCCCAGAATTCTACTGCTTTTGGGCACGTCCACCACTGATGGTAATAGGTGCCACGCTCAAACCCACATTTCCAGCATTCCGCAGATTGTCCAGCGAACATTTTAGCTTTAGGGGGAAGATGCCACCTGGAGATATACAAAAATTATCCCCATGCCAGTTAATACTTAGTTGGGTAACCTTTAGCATGAATTATGGCCTTACAATATCTTCCAATGGAGTGAACCAAGTCTTTTAGTTCTGCAGCTGTTATAATGTGAAACCAGGATTGAATGATTGGTTCTATTAACTGGGTGTTTGCACTTGTGGCCATCACAGTGTCCCCATGGTCACGTGATAAAAATTGGGGCACTTGGCAACCAGCATACACGTTTCCAACCGTTGCAGTGTCCTGGGGTCCCTAATCACCATTTGTGACCTTCCCAGCTGACCTCCAACAAGCAAAGCCAATGGAGGAATCTGGGTTTGCTTAATGACTGTGAGATTTGCTTAATGACTGCAGCAAAAAAGATCATAAAAGTGGATGTGACTCCACTTAACAACTGCTTCACTCAGCAATAAAAGTTCCAATCCCAGTTGTGGTTGTAGGTTGAGAACAACTTATACTGGGTGGTCCACAACCCCCAGGTCGCAGCCCATTCCCCGTTCAAAACTGGGCCGTGTAAGTGGCGGGCGAGTGAAAATGTGCAGGTCCACTTGCATGAATGGCATGCAAGTGTGTGCAAAGCTCCATGTGGACAAGCAGTGGTATTCGCACACTCGAAGCTCCATTTGCACAATGGAACTTGTGCAAAGGGAGCTATGCACACTTGTGCACATGCCTGCCATTCACAGAGAACCATCCCCTCTTTCCCCCACTCTCGTCTGCCAATCCAGAAAGATTGGGGACAGCTGTGACAATTTATACAATTTTGTAAACAGGAACTGGCTCCTGAGATATTCCCCCAAGATACACTGTTGAAAGATTCATTCAGTCGGAACATGTACTCCAAAGAAGTCTGGGTCTTCATAAATAAAGATATGTGTCAGCCCAGACCATAAAATCGGTTCCACAGGAAGGCTAAAACTTCCTTTATTGAGTTTGGCTCTAATACCAAAATCTTGCAAGCCTAATTGTGCTAGATTTCCTCCCACTCCTTATAGTTCAGTAAATTAGGTGGCATCCAGCTGAGCTGATTCTGAATGTTATCTGGCTGCCCTGGATTTAAAAAAAAAATCAGCCCTTTTGCCTCCTATAAGGTAATCTTCCTTACTCTCTACACTACTGGTACATGAATTATGGACCCGAGAAAGGGCTTTGTGGCTAAATCCAGATTAAAATGAAGGCATTCATTGGGCAGAAGGTATAAGCATCTGGATTATGAGGTTAAGCATCAGCGCTGAAATCACTTGCCATATCTGTCTGGCTAGACCAGTCAGTGGCTATGAAAGTCATTGTATGGGCTAGCGCTAGCAAATAGGATTCAGCTAGAAAAGAACCTGGATAACCAGTGAAAATAGGACCGTTTAGGGCAGTGACGGCTAACCTTTTTTTCCTCGATGTGTGCTCACACCCATAATGTAATGCCCCTCACGCATGCTCCATCCCCCTGCACATGCGCACGCAACTCCCCCTGTGCTACCCTGCCCCCTGCACAGGCACATGTAACCCCCCCTGCACTCCCCCACCCCCTGCGTATGCACACATGACCCTCCTGCCCCCCATTTTGGGCCTAGCAGGCCTCCCTGAAGCCTCTGGAAGCTGAAAATGGCCCGTTTCCAGACTTCCGGTACTTCCGGTAGGCCCATTTTTTGCCCTCCCCAGGCTCTGGAGGCTTTCCTGGAGTCTCCCAGGAAGGCGAAAATGGCCTCCCCCGGCCCTCCGGAGGGCATCTGGAGGCCAGAAATGGCCTGTCTCCATGCTTCTGGTACTTCCGGGATGCCCGTTCTTCACCCTCCCAGAGCCTCTGCGCAAGCTCTGTACTTACCTGACATCTGAAACAGGCCATGTGTAGATTCCTGGGAGGGGCGGGGTGGGCCAGCATGGGCATGCGCGGCAGAGACCCGAAAATCAGCTGGCCGGCGGGAGGCACGCATGCATGCGTGGTGGAGCTGATCTAGAGTAACGGCTTGCGTGCCTGCAGAAATGGCTCCGCATGCCATTTGTGGCATGCGTGCCATAGGTTCACCATCACGGGTTTATGGGTTGCAAGATACGTTGTGTTACACAAACTGCTCCATGTTCCCACTTGTTGCCAGTCTTCTCTTCTGTTCAGCATCAGTGTCACACTGTATTCAGGGGTGTCAAACTCAAGTCATCACAGTGGTGTCACATGACGTATCGGGACTTCCCCCCCCCTTCACTAAACCCCCTTCGTTAAGCCAGCACATGACGCATCCGGCCTGAGGGCCGGGAGTTCGACAGCACTGCTGTAGTTGGTTCCCAGACTGATAAGGATTTAGAAGACCATTATATAAACAACCAGCTGCCAGATTTCCTGTTACCAGTGAAGACACCTGCTGTAGAAAAACTGTTTGAAAGAAAATCAGAAAGTCTCCAGCCTGTAACCACATGGGGAAGTACTGGCTGTAAAAGGCAGTTGCTGTCATTCTTGCAGCTCCATCCAAAAGAAACTCTGAGGAAATTGTGCTCGAAAAAGATGTGGCCCTTGGCTTTAAGACAGTTGCCAAAGAACCTGACAATCTGCCACTTGCAGCAGCTCATCTACCAGTGGGATAGATCCTGTGAAAGTGTCCGCAGGACCTGAGGCGTTTGTTGAAATGATAAAACTAGCAACGTGCCAGTACGATGCAGACTTCCTTTTTTCTGTGTATGTTTGCAACATTACTTATGCTTTCAAAGAGCTGTGGTGGCACAGTGGTTAGAATGCAGTACTGCAGGCTACTTCTGCCGCCTGCCTGCAATTTGGCAGTTCGAATCTCACCAGGCTCAAGGTTGACTCAGCCTTCCATCCTTCCGAGGTGGGTAAAATGAGAACCCAGATTGTTGGGGGCCATAGGCTGACTCTGTAAACCACTTAGAGAGAGCTGTAAAGCACTGTGAAGCGGTATATAAGTCTAAGTGCTATTGCTATTATGACACAGGTGAAAAAGGAGTGGACCTTGTATCATAATGGTGCAATGTTAGATTTGTCATTTGTCAACCCTTTGACCCCCTTTCCCACTTCTTAAAATCTCTGGAGCAACCTTCCTTAATTTGCAGAAATCATCTGCTTAGAAATGCATTTCCCAGCCTGTTTCTTTGGCATGACTACTTCATGTCCTAACAAGAACATGCAGTTTAATTTTTGCTTCTCAGCTGCCTTGTAGGAACAAAGAGCTTCTCTCCCACCCTCTCTAAAATTCTGGTCCTTGTGGAGCTACTTGTCATCCAAGCAGCAGTCAGTCTTGACAGGCCTTGATTTGTGGTTTCTGGGGGCAGCCTCTGGTCTTAAGCCCGGAGAGAAATTAATGAGGTGAGTGGGTTGTCTGCATCTGTGTGTCTTTCCTTTTTTCGCCTCCCCAGTTGCACAGAACAAATGGGAGAGAGATCTCTTCAGTTTAGGGCACGTTTTTTGCAGGGTGTTTTCCCATGATGCTCACTTCTTATTTCCTGCTGCTTCAGAATATCCTATAGAAAATGGAATTTCCTCCTTGTGGAAATTTGGACGGGGGGAAGAGACCCAGATTTACTTATGACTCCAGGGGTCAAGAATAGAGCTCAGGGGTGGGTTCTAACTGGCTTTACTACCGGTTCTCTTTGTGCGTGCACTTTGTGCGTGATCGCCTCTTCGGTCTTGCTTTGCGCAATCTTGCTTTGCGCAAGTGCATTGCGAATCTGCCTAACTGAGGTGCGGCAATCCGCTCTGCTCCCGAAGAAAGAGAACCGGTTCGGTGACGTAATAGCAATAGCAACGGGAGTAACCCACCACTGATAGAGCTGTTAAAAAGCTGTTTTGAAGGAGAGTTGATAGCCCTGATTTGAGTTGACTCATGAAGCCGCTTTTAATCCTGATGTGATCTGGCCAGTTTATAGCATTATGTTTTTTCTGCCAAGTGTCATGAATGTTCCAATTTGGAGCTGATGTGCAGAGAACTCAATGTTTATTTTTTATAAACACATTTTATCTCTTTCTCAGCCTTACAAAACTTACCAAATAAGACATTTCTCCCCAATTAAAACTGGGATCAATTTCACTCCTTGAAATGTTAACTGTACAGGCTAAATATCACACTTTTTAAAAAAAAATTTGATTTATATGCCGCCCTTCTCCGGAGACTCAGGGCGGCTTACAATGTGTTAAGCAATAGCCTTCATACTTTGTATATTTATACAAAGTCAGCTTATTGCCCCCACAATCTGGGTCCTCATTTTACCTACCTTAGAAAGGATGGAAGGCTGAGTCAACCTTGAGCCTGGTGAGATTTGAACTTGCAGTAATTGCAGGCAGCTGATTTAAATTCCTTTCATGATTGCTTTGAACTCCTCTGCTGACTTCTGTTAAATATGATTCCTTATAGGTTGTCTGAAGAGGAACAACACCACATTCTTTCTACTGTGACTTTGACATTTGTCTGTTGCTCAATTTCGGTCTAAACAGCTGAATTTCCTCCTGCCCCCAATTAAACTCATTACTGCGGCCACATATTGCAGTTATTTTATTTGTATTTCTGTCAAGATGCAGATATAGCCTTTCACCTCTGCTTCCAAGGCACTTAACAAAAAGTTACAATAACAGAAATTTTGTACTGTGGGAAAGTGAGGGAAGCGATAAAAATAAGAGAGTAATTAATATATAATACCATAGGTATATATAATTACATATTAGGGGTGGGCTTCAAAAATTTTACCAAGAGGTTCTCTGCCTGGTTGCTGGGTGGGCATGGCCATGGTGGGTGTGGCCTAATCGGCCTCCTGCACCATAGCGGAGGGCCATTTTTGCCCTCCCCAGGCTACAAAGGCTTTTCTCGAGCCTCTGGGAGGTTGAAATTGGCCTCCCCAGGCTCCAGAGGCCCTCTGGAGGCCAGAAACGGGCCTTCCTGAACTTCAGATAGGTCTGTTTTTTGCCCTCCCCGAGCCTCCGCGTGCACCCTGAACTTACTTGCATCCAAAACAGGCCACATGGGGACTCCTGGGAGGGGCGGGGTGGAGTGGGTGGGGCTAGCCAGGAGTGGGATTTGGGGGTTCTCTGAACTGCACAGAATCTTAGCTAGAGGTTCTCCCGAACCCCTGTGAACCCCTGTGAACCCCTGTCCACCCCTGCATATTATCCACACACATGCACAAATATATAAAAAAATAATCATCAGCCAAATCCATTGCATGGGTTTTTATGGAAAGATCTTACTAAGCTAGTCCAATGCAGTTGGCCTAATAGATCTTTTTTGACTATTAAGGCCAGAAGTCACCCAGTCAGTTTCTGTGTCTAAGGGAGGATTGGAATCAGTGTCTCCCTGTCAGCAATACTTTAACTATTACATTACATTGTCTCTTGCATATGTGTGCATGATTCCCAAAAAACAATACTTTGATTTTCTACAAGGTCTTTTCCTCCCAATTACAACTGAAGGTATGGAAGCCTGCTAATTACCGGTCAGGAAAATGGCTTCCTTGCACTGTTTATAGTTTCCCATAATGATACAAATCTGCTAGTGGTCACCCATTGTTATAAGGGCATTTCTCAACATCATTACAATTGTATCCATGGTGATCTTGTCACAGCAATTTCCTGAAATGCAGATGAATATGTATACGCAGTTTTCCTGGCAGAAGGTATTGTTTTCACATGGTAAAGGTTAAGGAACTCCTCTGGTTTATGCATTTGTTGTTGCACAACAATCTGAGTGATCCCCAGGGTCAGCATTAACTCAAAGGCACACATACCCGTCCACCCACAACTCCATACACAAACACAACTTTTGACAAACTGTACAAGCCTATATCAGTTGTCTGGCCTTTTATGATCCATCTGTCCCATCCATCCATCCATCCATCCATCCGCCAGTAAACCATCCATTTTGTCTCTTGTAACATGCCAGAAGGGAAACATAATTGTATGTGTGTTATTTGCCTCTGATCTCCTCCCATTGTCCAGGGATATAGACAAAGTGGTAAAAAGCCTTGTCAATTTCACTTTAAAACTGATAGGAATAAAGTGTCAGTAACACTAATTTGTCTCCCCATTTCAGGATTGATGAAAATGGCATCCCTTCCCCCCAGTGTTTTTCGGGCCCATACATTTTGCTATTGTTTCCATATGTTTTAGAAGTATTCGATGCTGGTTTTTATAGTTTTCGTTTTGTTTCTAAAAAAACCCACAACACCCTCTGAAAAAATATGGAACAAATGTTGCTTCCTTCCCAAACTTTCCATTTCTGCATCAGTAAAAATTCACCTTCATTCCACCTAAGAGAATTAAAAGAGAGTCTAATGGGGGAATCACCTGTAATTTGACACTTTCTGCTGCGCTAAAGCATAAACAAAAACAATTAAGGGTTTTTTTCCCCCTCTCTATTAATCTCTTTCAGATTTCCTCCTTTTTCAGGCTTATCCTTTATTTTTTCAAAGAAAACTGTAGTCATAGTACATATCCCAGATATTGCATTATCAGGTCTTCTGTTGTGGGGGATCTCTGTTGATTATCTGGTCTTTGGAAAAATAATAGGGCTGGAAAAGGAAGTTCTCTCCCTTTTGCTCTGCTCAGTCTGGAATGAATTTGTTTTAGGAATCAAAAGCTGATAAGGAAAGGGAGTGCTAGGAAAAAACAGAGCTGATAGAGACTTTAGAACGAAGAAGTTTCTCTGGCAGATACAATAACTGCAAGACAAATTGCAACTCAGAATTGAAACTGGATTCTCAGCAGGCACAAACTGTGTTTGAAGTGGGAGGCATGCAGCTACAAATGGATATTCTTTTGAGTTGGGCCCAGTTAGTATTTAAAAGAGGGAGCTAACTATAATTTCTAAAACCGTCCAAGAATATTCAGAATATGAAGTATGCAAAGCTTTTGCATACATTTCGCAACCTTTGCGTAGAAAGATTGTGGGTTTTGTTACAAGGAAATCAGTGGTGGGTTTCAAAAATTTTTATTACCGGTTCTGTGGATATGGCTTGGAGGGCGTGGCATGGCTTGGTGGGCGTGGCTTGGTGGGCATGGCAGGGGAAGGTTACTGCAAAATCCCCATTCCCTCCCGATCAACTGGGACTTGGGAGGTAGAGAATAGGTGGAGGTGGGGCCAGTCAGAGATGGTATTTACCGGTTCTCCGAACTACTCAAAATTTCCGCTACCGGTTCTCCAGAACTGGTCAGAACCTGCTGAAACCCACCTCTGAAGAAATAATAAAAGAATGCCAGGGGTTTGTTTGTTTGTTTGTTTTTCATATAAAGCCTAGTGTCTTATCTATTATTATTTATTTTGATTTGATTTTAGAGGTTTCTGGAGAAATATGGCTATTTTGAGTCTGTGCACCAAGTACCGGACTTAGCAGGATTCCCAGATGCCATAAAGTAAGCCTGTAATTCTCATTCTTCTCTTACTGGTTTTAGTTGTTCACTTCCGTCTCCATTTAATAACTAGCTAATCCCTAAATCCCATGCCTTCCTATACAGTCTGTTGCTAGCTTAGACCATGCAGCTGGCCAGCTTTCATTGACGATGGGTTCTGCTCAGTGGTTTCCCTTGTATGGGCTTAGTTTCTTTCGTACTATGACCAATGCAGCAGTTTTGACCCAGCTGGTAGATTCCTCAAATGCCAATGCTGCCTTCTGGATTCAGGCCATCTTCCACTACTCCCTCTGAGTTGCTTTCTTTCTTAAATCTTTTATTTCCTTTCCCTGCTACCAGCTTCAAGTTTTATAGGGTTATAAGTGGCAAATGCTTAAAAATGGTGCAGTGGCCTAGTGGTAAAGTCACTCGCCTCACATTTGGATGGTTGAGGGTTCAATTCTAGGTAGTGGCAGATGTTTCTTTCCTAGGATGCAAAGAAAAAATATCTGTTGTGAATTCTGCATAGGTGTCAGGAAGGGTATCCGACCGGTAAATGCTCAGCTCTATCCAGTTGTGACTCTATCCAAATAGGGACTATAGGGTCATAAAAAGGGGGATTTGTGTGTTTAAAAACCAAGGGCTAAATCATTATTTCTCAATTTATCTATTTAAAACATTTATATAGACACCCATCTTTCAACCAACTCTGGATGTCTCCAGATCAATGCTGTCAACTTTTAAGATGTGTGGACTTCAATTCCTAGAATTCCTCAGCCAGCCATGAAGTCCGCACACCTTCAAGTTGCTGAGGTTGAGAAATACTGGCTTAAATGAAGGGAGCGTCATGCAACTTCCATCCCACTTCATGTACACTTACAGGGAATTTCAATGGATTTCTCACCTGCCCCTCAGTGGCACCCTGGATGCCATCACTCTCCGTCACATGAGTCTCCCTCGCTGTGGTGTCAATGACGCAGAGAGCCACATGGCATGGAAGGAGCGCATGGATGCCCTGTTCTCAGAAGGGAAAGCCAGGAAGAGTCGCAGGAAACGATACTTGCATCAGAGTAAGTCTGCCTGAGTGTGGAAATATGTATCCTTCTTCTGGGCCAGGTTGTAATTTCCAACCATTGTTTTAAAATGGGAACTCAAAGACTCCAAGGAGATGTCCAGCAGCCCCATGGAGTTTCTGAACATCTACTCTCTGGCTAGTACATATCCGGGCACAAGAGAACTTTGGAAACTCTCCACTCAATTTCTGGAAAGAATAATTGGATGGTAATTTCTCCAAGGGAAGGTGACTTTCTCCGATCATCTTTCAAGGAGAGAGCTCTTCCTTAGCAGCATTATTCCTGAAGTCCAGTGTAAAGAGTTCCGTCCTGAGGTCTTCTCTTGATGTTGAGTGGGATGCCTGGGAGAGTTGCAAACCAAAGAAGAGTTGAGTGCAGCAATAGCAGTAACAATAGCATTATAGACTTAGATATCGTCCCAAAGTGCTTTACAGCACTCTGTGGGCAAGTTTACAATGTAGAAGCATTATTTGCTTATTGACCCCAACAATCTGGGTCCTCATTTTACCGATCTCGGAAGGATGGGAGGCTGAGTTAACCTTGAACCCCATCAGGATTGAACTCCAGGTTGTAGGCAGAATTTGCCCGCAATATTGCACTTAACCACTGCACCACATAAGTGCACAATGAGAGACAGTCATATGTGCTTGCATACATTCATAAACAATAGAGTTCTTGGCTGCATCCTAATTAAGTGTGCCATGCACTAGAAATTCTTTTCTTTATGAGCAAAAGTTTTTTCATTAATCTGTACAAGAATGAATAGAGGAAAATACAATATATGTTCTCTATCTGCACTTAGAAAAGTATGGAGGCCCATTTCCCAGACACCACCGTAATTCAGGAAGAGCATCGGCAAAAAACCCGGTTACCTAGCCTTCCAAAGCACAGTCACTTGGAGAAAAGACCATTAAGAGGGATAGTTAGGACAGCTTTCAGTTTCTTTTTCTTTTTCATTTATTCATTTACTAGCTGAATACCCGTGCTCTGCTAGGGCTTGATAAATTGACATTTACAGCTTGAAAATTAATGAGTAGTTACGGATCAGCCTCTCTTCTCCCCTTCTCTCCCTCAGCCTTGCCCCACAGAAGCCTCTCCTCTCCTCTCCCCCTTTTCTCCCTCAGGCTGGCCCCATTGATCCTCTCCTATCCCCTTGTCTCCCTCAGGCTTGACCCACAGAGGCCTCTCCTATCTTATCCCCTTCTCTCCCTTTCAGGTGGGGAGTAGAATGTCTAAACTCCCAGCCCACAGGCCGGATGACTCACACACTGGCCAGGCCCATGCCCAAGTGGCAGTTGGAACAGAGTTCTTTTCAGGTGGGGAGGGGGAGTAGAATGTCTAACTCCTTAGCATCAGAGCGTGTTAATAATAATAATATAAGAAATACTTACATTTCTTATAATATTATATTATAAGAAATGATCTGATGGTCATTTTGAAAAATCCTTTCTTAGCGAGCACCTAGAAGCCAAGAGGAACATATGTGCCAAATTTCAAGTTTGTAGGCTTTATAGTTCTGGAGATTTTGTGATGATGCGTGAGTGGTATTTTGCTTTTATATATATAGATTTGCTTATAAAAATTACGTAGCTGCTCATCTCGTGACAAGTGACTCCGGGTGGCATACAGCAAAAAAAAGTATAAAAACAATAAACATGTCAAGCACGTTTATATTAAAAAAGAAAAAAACCACACACGAGAGATTTAACCAGCAACGAATGTGTCCTCCACGCTGGACTCATTCCAGAAAATTAAAAAACAACAACAAAGTGCTGACTAAATAAGCTCTGAACCACTTATTCACGTGGGGATTTCAAGTGCCAGGCATTAGGCTCTTTGCCTACTTACCAGCTCGGTAGGCTTAATAGCTTTCCTAGACAGCAGAAGTCAGAGAAGCTGAGAGAGCAGCTGTTTTGAAGACAACCCCCCAGGAAACATTTGAGTGGAAGGATTAGGTAATTGCCTGTGCAGGCTTCAAATTGGGCCTGACAAGGCTGCATCTGGGTAGGAGGCCAGAAACACCGGGTTGCCGACCCCCCACCTGCAAAGTTTCCATGGTTGTCCTCTGTAGCATGAAGCAGGCCTGTTCTTTGTCACAAATGCATGGCCTTCTCCCCCACTCCTGCATTTGTGCCTGAGGAGACGTGCCTGGATTGATTCATTTATTTATTGAATTTGGAGGCTGCCCTGACTCTAAATGACTCGGAGAGGCTTATATTTTAAAAAAAACACGAAGGCCAGTGAAATAATAAGAAAAGATAATGCACATCTAGAAAAAGCAAAGTAATAACCAAAGAAGAACGAGAACCAGTTTGGTCTAGTAGTTTTGTCTAAAGTACCAGGTGAGAAACTGGGAGACTGTGAGTTCTAGTCCTGTCTTAAGCATAAAAGCTGGCTGGGTGACTTTGAGCCAGTTACTCTCTCTCTCTCTCTCTCAGCATAATCTACTTCACAGGGAGTGGTGGGTTCCTCATGGTTCGGCCCGGTTCTCCCGAGCCGGTAGCGGTGACGATATGATGTCATCGAACCGGTTCTGGCCCCCCGCCCCCTGCGCCCCCCCTACCCCCCGCATTATTCTTACCTTTTATTTGGCTCCACCCCCAATCTATTGCTGCCTCCTGAGTCCCAGCTGATGGCTAGAGGGAAAAAAAACTGTTTAAACTCTTGCCCGGGCTTCAAAGGGTCGCCCTACAGCTGATCAGTGTTAAAAGAAAACAAATGAGTAGAGCAGTGCCTGCAAAAATACATGAGTAGATCAGTGCCTGCAAAAATAAATGGGTAGACCAGTGCCTGCAAAAATACATGAGTAGATCAGTGCCTGCAAAAATACATGAGTAGATCAGTGCCTGCAAAAAATAAATGGGTAGATTGGTATAGCTCCGCAAGCAGTTAAAAACCTGGTAGACCAGTACCTCTGTTAAATCCTAAATAATTGTCACATGACCATCAAGCCATGCCCACAAAATAAGCCACGCCCACAGAACCGGTAGTAAAAAAAATTTAGAACCCACCCCTGTTCACAGGGCTGTTGTTATGGGAAAAATAGGAGGAAAGAACATTAGGTATGTTTACTGCCTTGAGTTATTTATAAAAATAATAAAGGTGGGATAAACACATTCTAAGATAAGCTAAAAGAAGAAAGTATGGGTTTCTTTCCCTGTCTGTGACCCCATGCGGGATCCTTTGGGGTAAGTCTATCCTATTTCTACTGCATCGTCTTGTCTCAAGTGAAATATCTCCCTCAACCTCTCTTCACAGGATTTAGCTTTCAGTCCTTCAATCATCCTCACTGCCTTCTCTTGCGTTTGTTGCAATTTGTGAAAAAGTGAAACCTTTGTAAAGTGTGGTAACATGAACTGGACACTGTACTTATTCTGGAGTCTAACCAATGCAGAACAGAATGAGATGAAATCCTAAGCCCTTGACTTAGGATCATTCACTTAGCAACCTTTTAAAGTTACAGTGGTGCGGGGAAAAAATCCAGTCCTCACACTTCTGACCGGTGCTTGCATTTACAACTATCCCCTTAGTGATGTGATCGCAGTTTACATGTGAGTTGGCTCACATTTACGACCGGTTGCAGTGAACCTGCATACAATCACATGACTACATTTGACAATAATTTTGCTGAAAACCGGCATTTACTTCAGATTATCAGCAAAACTGGCCTATAGAAAACCATTGGTTCACTTAACAACCAGGGCATTTGCTTAATGACCACTGCAATAAAGGCCACATAGGTGACCCCATTTATGAGTGTTGTGACTTAACAACCATTATGGTCGTAACTCAAGGACTACTTGTAAGCTACCTTTAGTATGACAGAAGACAGTGCAGTAAGGCTAAGAAGCACCAGATTGGTAGCAAACTACTGAATAATCATTTTTTTTAAATGATGTAGGAAGCTTTAGAAAGGTTTTACAAACAAATGGTGGCAGTTGGAATTGGGCCTTGTTCTAAGCAAGGGAAAAAACACCCCCACAGTGGCTGCTTTTTTTGCCATGAAAATACTGCAAGAAAACCTTTCCCCTTTGTAAATAATTTTTGCCTTCCTTCAAGGAACACACCTACAGTATACTTTAAGTCTGAGAACCCTGCGGCTCATTTTACAAGCTTTGAGTCATGGTTCCCCCCACCCCCCTTAAAAATCTTAATTGCAGCTGTCATTTGTTAGCTACCACTTTGTGGGGAAATAAACAGTTTGCACCCATCCCAAATGCAGGTGTGCTTCTTCGAGCCTGTTGAAACTGGGCCGTGTTTCACTTCTAGAAAATGAGCATCGGAAGTTAGGCTCTTATAAAATAGATGATCCTGTTATCAGTTGATGCCTGTTAGGACAGACTTTTGTTACGGTTTTTAAAACTTTTGTACTTGAGCCTCTGGAGATAGAAAGAGTAGCTCTATTCACAAATCATAAACTTGTCAGTCCCATTTTAGCCTAACATTTTGTCTAGAAACAGTCGGTGAGATTCGTTTGTGGATCATGAATTCTGTAGATCTAGAAAACTGGAATAAAGTAAACCAGGTTTCAATTAACCAAGCCTGAATTCCCACTCAACCCGATGACCAACATAATCCATTTCCTGCATTTGCACAATTCAAGTTTGATTTCAAAACACACTAAGCCACAAATAAGCTATCATGCTTAGCCTTAATCACATTTAGCCTGCTCTTGAATACACATTTTCTTCCAAGCCAGGTTCAGAAGGTTTTATGTGAACACAGCCTAAAAGTGCCATGGAAAACACAATTGGTGGGTGCCTCAAAGCATATCTGGCTGTCGGATTTTGGAGAGTGTTTGGCAAGTCTAGGTCCAGAATTAAACAGCAATGGCTGCGGGGCAGCTGTGTATCCCTATTTACAGAGAGTGATTCTCTGATAGAAGAGAATAATTGTAGGTTGAACTGTGGCTTTCTTGGTGCTGTCTGAACTTGGCTGTTCTCTTGCAGGCATTTCATCACCAAACTAGACAACACCATCAATGCTAGAAGAGAATGGCGTTTGCTCTCTTTTTGTATGCTAGTGGCTTGCCCTATAGGTATTAGTGGAGTACTGGTGGTGGTTCCTTGTTTAGTCTGTTGTTTATTGTTAGCTTGTTTGTCTGACTTGGTAGTTCCTTGATTGAGGTATTGTTTACTTCTTGATTATTTGTCTAGCACTAACCTTGGTGTTAGTGACACCAAGGATGTGGTGGCTGAGTGGCTAAGACGCTGAGCTTGTTGATCGAAAGGTCGGCAGTTCAGCAGTTCGAATCCCTAGTGCCGCGTAACGGAGTGAGCTCCCATTACTTGTCCCAGTTTCTGCCAACTTAGCAGTTCTAAAGCACGTAAAAAATGCAAGTAGAAAAATAGGGACCACCTTTGGTGGGAAGGTAACAGCGTTCCGTGCGCTTTTGGCGTTTAGGCATGCCGGCCACATGACCACGGAGACGTCTTTGGACAGCACTGGCCCTTCGGCTTTGAAACAGAGATGAGCACCGCCCCTTAGAGTTGGGAACGACTAGCACATATGTGTGAGGGGAACCTTTACCTTTACCTTTACCTTTGTGTTAACCCTTGCTCACCTTGGTGTTGATTGCTGGTGAGATGTTTTGGTCTTTTTGTTTCCTTTTTGGATTTTTTATTGTCTCTTTTGAATAGTATGTAGATGTTGTTTATCTCTATGTGCCTGTTGATGGCTGATTTGTCTGAGGGGCAATCTTCCTCTGTGATGTTTGAAGGCTTGTCAGAGTAGCCCTTTGACTGAGGGTATCTTCTAAGGGACGTCTTACTGGAGCACATCAAGTTCTTAAAATTAATTATAAGGAAGGAGAGTAGGAGTTTTGAAGTTATCCATCTATGGCAGAAGTGGGGAACTGTGACCCTTTAATGAATTAATGCTGGCTCAGGAATTCTGGGAGTTGAAGTTCACAAGTCATAAAAGGATTATAGTTCCCCACCCTTGATCTATGGTAAGCATGTGAACACAGGAGGAATCTCTCTCAAATCACTCCCCCCTCAAAAGTTGAAATAACCAAGTTTTAATTGCTTTCCTCAACTAGTTGGGTAGGAATCTCTCGGGGAGAGGGGGATGCCATTCCAGTGTCTGTGTGCACAATGGAGAAAGAGCCACTTCTGAGAACTCTGTAGATCAGGGGTCTCCAACCTTGGCAACTTTAAGACTTGTGGGCTTCAACTCCCACAAAGCTGGCTGAGGAATTCTGGGAGTTGAAGCCCACAAGTCTTAAAGTTGCCAAGGTTGGAGACCCCTGCCGTAGATGACATTCGTTAAGAGAGGGCACCCACAAGAAGTCTGCCGTTCTCAATTTAATCGGGTGGAAGTATATGATCCCCAAGAGGTATTAGTTGAACAAAATGGTTGAAGCTTGGTCTATATCTCCCATTACCCTGAATGCTAACAAGGGATAATAGGGGTTGTAGACCCAAGCCTCTAATCAGTGTACAATTTTGGAAGAGTGTTTTAATAGGCATACATAGGCAGACTCTTAAAACATTTGTTAACGATTTCTTTACAACCAAGCTGTTTTTTTTTTTTTTTTACCCCAATCAAAATTTATGCGCCAAGCCATTTTGCAGTTCATAGAGTCTTTAATCTTCTCTCCAGGGCTTGTTGTGTTTGGCAGATATAGGGCTGGAAGGATGATCTATTAGAGTAATTGGACGGAGGAAGATTGACATCTTGGCCCCCAAACGATGGTCTGTGAGGCTCCCTTGATCCCTCGGATGAGCTCACTCTTTTTCCTGTGCCCAAAGCAGGAAACAGCTCTTTGGGGAATGGAACTGTCTTTTTCTCTTAGAAAGGAAATGCTTTCAAGAATCCAATGTCTGAAAGAAGCAGTCCGTGTCCTTTCGTTTACCGTGAGAATCACAACAGGCTGCCGAATGTGGAGCCCTTTCTGTCCGAGACAGACTGTCAGTCTGATGTTGACTCAATCTCTCAGAGATCTAGAATCACACTAGATTCAAATTCCTGGGAACAAGCAAACTACTTCTATATTTTCACTTGCTCTAAACTGAGGAAATGTTGTTTTTTTTTAAGGGCTAGATACACTGGCATTTCTGGATGGGAGGTATGCCCAGGGGTGAAATGCTACCAGTTCGCTCCAGTTTGGGCGAATCGGTAGTGATAAAAACTACCGGTTCAGGTGAACCGGTATTAAAAATATGCAGCACAGCTGTGAACCTTTTTTTTTAACTTTTTTAAAGCATTTATTTTACTACCGTTTCAGGCGAATAGATAGTAAAAAATGCTTTAAATTTTTTTTTTAAAAGTTGACCACACCCACCCAGTCACATGATCTCCCCACCAAGCCACGCCCACAGAACTGGTAGCAACAAATTTCACATTTCACCACTGGGTATGCCCCCATTCCAGTAGTAGCCCATTGTGGGAATAATCACAGCTTATTTTGTAAGAGAATAAAACCCATTTCCACTGCCCCAAAGCCACCCATTAGCCAAAAAGGCAAGAAACAACCTAGCTAAAGATTGCTAAAAGTGCACTGGTCCAAAACAAAAAAACTGAGACAGATCAACATGGCAAGGGAAATTAAAAAGACAAAAACCCATGCCCATATTTCCCTTCACCCACAAAAGGGATAACTAGACACCATATACACAACAAAGAAAGAAGCACACAGTTATAGAAAAGAACAAATAGAATTGCCCGCTCTGGCTATAAAGCACCAGAAGGCAAGAAAAGAAACAATGGATGGAAACTAATCAAGGAGAGAAGCAACCTAGAACTAAGTAGAAATTTCCTGACAGTGAGAAAATTAATCAGTGGAACGACTTGCCTCCAGAAGTTGTGAATGCTCCAACACTGGAGGCTTTTAAGAAGATACTGGACAGGCATTCATCTGGCATGGTATAGGGTCTCCTACTTAAGCAGAAGGTCAGACTAGTAGACTTCCAAGGCCTATTCTATTATATCAGCATGGCTCAGGATTGGAGGAGGAAATTACCAAGCCCATTTTAGCCTGACATGTGGATTGTGTCATATGTGGTGAAAATGATGTTGTGCATCCTGCTAAAGAGAAGGAAGGGTTACTGATGTTAAGGAATGAATTTCTTCAGCTGTAGGGAATTGGGGTGGTAGGAATTTTATGAGGAAATTACAATTGGAGAGACAAAATTTGGATGTTGGTGTCCTTGACTTTTCAAATGGCACCTATGAACACCCCATTTAGTTTGAATAAGACCCTAAGCATAATTTATGCCCTTAGTCCCTTGTGACTTTATCTTCTTTGTAAATGAATGTGGGCTCTAATTAATAACGCTTTCATTTTCACTTGAATTTCATTTAGTGGTTTCCTGCAGAAAATCACAGGATTTCAGAATCAATACACACAGACACAAGATACTGTTGTGGAGGAATGAATTTTAGTTGTATTTCTTAAATTTCTGCTCTCCTCTAACTCCGGGACTGTTTACATATTTCTTTAAAACATTCGCTTTGAAGATGCTGAGAACATGCTCTTATTGTTATTATTGATGTGCCTTTAACGAGGATGCTGGAATTAATCACCTTATGTCTGATTCATTTTTTCTGATCTTCCCTCCACTAATTTCTCTCCCTCCTCCATCTCAACCTTGTAGGTGGTAAATGGTATAAACGACACTTGACTTACCGGCTAATCAACTGGCCTTGGTACCTGCCAGAGCAGCAGGTTCGTCTGGCAGTGAAAGCAGCTTTTGAGCTCTGGAGCAACGTCTCTTCCTTAGTTTTTTGGGAAGTAGCAGAAGAGCCTGCAGATATTCGCCTGACATTCTTCTATGGGGATCACAATGATGGAGTTGAGAATGCCTTTGATGGCCCAGGTGCTGATTTGTTATGTCTTACCTCATAAGCATCTTTTGGTTATAAAACCATATTGGTCCAGAGTTCTGATTTCATGCATCTTCTGTCGTGGGATTCATACCAGGGGTGAAATCCAGCAGGTTCCGACAGATTCTGGAGAACTGGTAGTGGAAAATTTGAGCAGTTTGGAGAACCGGTAGCGGAAATTTTGAGTAGTTCGGAGAATTGGCAAATATCACCTCTGGCTGGCCCCAGAGTGGGGTGGGAATTGAGACTTTGCAATATCCTTCCCCCTGGAGTGGGGAGGGAATGGGGATTTTGCAGTATCCTTCCCCTGCCATGCCTACCAAGCCACGCCCACCAAGCCACACCATGCCCACCAAGCCACGCCTGCAGAACCTGTAGTAAAAAAATTTGGATTTCACCACTGGTTCATACTATTTCTGAAGTCACTTCCAACAAGTCAGGACTTCAAAAAAAAATATGTGACCAAGAGCCCTGGATGTAGAGAGGGGCAGAGAGAAGGCTGGTAGGACAGAAATTAGCTTTACCCATCCTGATGTTCTTCAAATGTGTAGAAAACACCATTTCCCTGATACTGTAATCTGGTTTTGCTCTACACTGTCAAGACATGTTGTAAATAAAATAAATATTAGTAGTCAACCTGGCTGAAGACTTGAGATTCTGATCCTAAGTTTGAGGAGCCTCATAGTTTCTGAGATTCTTCTACATGGGATTTATGCAAACTTCAAAATGAGTTTTGCACCTGTATGCAGAATTCCTCCCTCTCCTCATCTTTGTCTGGCAACTAAGCAATTTATTTCTCAGAAATTATCTTAATTTTTTTTTAACATTTTCAGTGCTGAGGTCCTGCAGCAAGTATTCCCCTTGAAGAACAATTTTTGAAGAATCCCCTTTTCTTCCTGGCTTTCAATCATCCTAGCAGATCTTTTAAGGGGAAAGGTGGCTTGGTAGCTTTTCACTTTCCTCCCCATAGGAATCACTTAGATTTCCCCCCATACAATTAAAAAAAGCACACAGTATTAAGTAAGAATATGACAACAGGGGTGAAAGCAATTTATTTTATATATCTTTGGCCTGGAATTAGGATATGGGCTTTTTGTTTCTCCACTGCAGCAACTTCGAGTCAGGCATTTATTCTTCTGCTCCTAAAATTGGGAAGTTGGCAGCAATAAAGACGATTTCAAAGAGCCTTGGTGGTGCAGCGGACTAAGTGCTGTTATGTAGCACTTAGCTGCCAGCTGCCTGCAATTACTGCGAGTTCAAATCTCACCAGGCTCAAGGTTGACTCAGCCTTCCATCCTTCCGAGGTAGGTAAATTGAGGAGCCAGATTGTGGGGGCAATAAGCGGACTTTGTAGAAACACCACTTATGGGGGGCCAAAAGCCCTAATAAGCAGGTATATACAAAAGAATGAAGGCTATTGCTATAAGTACATTGTAAGCCGCCCTGAGTCTTCGGAGGAGGGCGGCATATAAATTGAACTAATAAATAAATAAATAAAATGATAATAGAAGAAGCATCAGCAGTATGGAATTCTCTGATGGATGGAGTTGACTGACTTTCATAGCTAAATATAAATAGTGTTCAAATTGATCTGGGATCTGATTTCTCTTTCCTTAGGGGGTGCTCTGGCACACGCCTTCTTCCCACGCCGTGGCGAGGCCCATTTTGACAATGATGAGAGATGGTCCCTGGACAGTGGGAAAGGCCGTAACCTCTTTGTGGTGATGGCACATGAAATTGGTCATACGCTGGGCCTGGAACACTCCCCTGTGTCCAATGCTCTTATGTCCCCCTACTACAAGAAGCTGGGCAAGGGATTTGTCTTGAACTGGGATGATGTTCTTGCCATTCAGAATTTATATGGTAAATAGAACTTAATTTCTCAAGAGTAAAACTTTCTCAAGGCACATGACCACATCTTCAAATATAGACTGCAGCTTTGGAACCAGTTGGAGTGAATGAGACTCTAGAAAGAGTGCAGACAAGAGTAAAAAGGATAATTAGGGAATTGGAAGCTAAAACAATGATGAATGGTAGCAGGAATTGGGTAGACTACAGTCTAACGAAGAGAAGGACTAGGGGTGAAATAACAAAATAACAGAGTTGGAAGGGACCTTGGAGGTCTTCTAGTCCAACCCCCTGCTCAGGCATGAAACCACTTTAGACAAATGATTATCCAATAGCTTCTTAAAAACTTCCAGTGTTGGAGCAGTCAAAACTTCTGGAGGCAAGTTGTTCCACTGATTAATTGTTCTAACTGTGAGGAAATTTCTCCTTAGTTCTAGGTTGCTTCTCTCCTTGATTAGTTTCCACCCATTGCTTCTTGTCCTGCCCTCAGGTGCTTTGGAGAATAGCTTGACTCCCTCTTCTTTGTGGCAGCCCCTGAGATATTGGAACACTGCTATCATGTCACCCCAGTCCTTCTTTTCATTAAACTAGACATACCCAGTTCCTGCAACCGTTCTTCATATGTTTTAGCCTCCAGTCCCCTAATCATCTTTGTTGCTCTTCTCTGCATTCTTTTTAGAGCCTCAACATCTTTTTTACATCGTGGCGAGTTGTATTAACACTTCACGTGATCTTGATTCTATCCCTCTGTTTATGCAGCCTAGAACTGTGTTGGCTTTTTTGGCAGCTGCTAGACACTACTGGCTCATATTTAAACGGTTGTCCACTAGGACTCCAAGATCCCTCTCACAGTTACTACTATTGAGCGAGGTACCACATATATTGTACTGTGCATTTTGTTTTTCTTGCCTAAATGTAGAACCTTACTTTTTTCAACATTGAATTTCATCTTGTTAGATAGCTCCCAATGTTCAAGTCTGTCAAGATCCTTCTGTATCTTGAGCCTATCTTCCAGAGTGTTGGCTATTCCTGCTAGCTTGGTGTCGTCTGCAAATTTGATGAGTTCGCCATCTATCCCCTTGTCCAAATCATTGATGAAGATGTCGAAGAATACTGGACCTAAAACAGAGCCTTGGGGTACCCCACTGCATACCTCCCTCCATGTAGATGCAGTTCCATTGAGGACTACATGTTGATAGAGTCTCCCTATATTTGAGGGGCTGTCATAGTGAAGATGGGGTCAACCTATTCTTCAAAAAACCTGAGGACAGGACAAGAAGTTACAGGTGGAAGTTTATCAAAGACAGATCCAACCTAAAATTAATTTCCTTTCAGTGAGAACAATTAATCAGTGGAATGGCTTGCCTATAGAAGATATGGGTGCTCCATCACTGAAAGTTTTTAAGAAGAGATTGGACAGCCATTTGTCCAGAATGGCATAGTGTCTTCTGCTCAAGCAGGGGGTTGGACTAGAAGACCTCCAAGGTCCCTTCTAACTCCATTATTCTCTAATTTTGGAATAGAGGAATTACTTAGCCCTTTCAGAATGGCTGCTGTTCTAGTTGAAATTGCTGTTGCAACTTCACTTTCTGCTTTACAAATGTTATCTTTCCATCCAACTACCCAATATTCAGAGATGTGTGATTCCTATATAAGGCATTATGTTTATGACACTGGGAATTTAGGAAATTTTTGGAATCAATTTTTTAAATTGCACCATGCAATTAAAATTAAAAGGGACGTGGTGGCTCAGTGGCTAAGATGCTGAGCTTGTTGATCGAAAGATCGGCAGTTCAGCGGTTCAAATCCCTAGTGATGCGTAACAGGGTGAGCTCCCCTTACTTGTCCCAGCTTCTGCCAACCTAACAGTTCGAAAACATGTAAAAAAGGCGCGTTCCGTGCGCCTTTGGCATTTAGTCATGCTGGTCACATGACCACGGAGACATCTTTGGACAACTCTGGCTCTTTGGCTTTGAAATGGAGATAAGCACTGTCCCCTAGAGTCAGGAACAACTAGCACATATGTGTGAGGGGAACCTTTACCTTATTCTTCAGAGAACCACAAAGAGCTTGTGATTTTTCCTTTTCCACCTGTGCCTCCTTTTATTTATGTAGTGAAAAAATGACTGGCCCAAAATTACTCTATTATCCTGTCTGCGGCTCTTGCTTATTCTCCTGAGATGATTCTCACATACTATACCGTATTACAACCATTGACTGATCTTATAGTAGAACTTTTGTCTTGCAAAAATTGTAATAACCACCAGATGGCAGCAAAAAGAGTCTTTCTCTTACTTCCCAGTTTGGGAGCTGCACATTGAAAGATCTGGTTGCTTGTCCTTCTAAGTGGAATGGTAATGTCAAGAGCTGTTTTGTTGGCAAAGCAGCTAGTAGGGATTTTTCAAAGTTTAAATTTATTTTTGGAAGGGTCTTTAAAGTAGAGAACAAACTTAAGTCAAAAAAAGAAAATCAATGTCAATATGTTTTATTTAAGGCATCCAAATAAGCCTACTTCCATATATGTTCAATATGCTCATAATATGTTCAAAGAGCTGTGGTGGCGCAGTGGTTATAATGCAGTATTGCAGCATAACTCACTACTCACTGCCAGGAGTTCGATTCAGACCCAGCTCAAGGTTGATGCAGCCTTCCATCCTGAGGTCAGTAAAACAAGGATCCAGATTGCTGGAGGCAATATGCTGACTTTGTAAACTGCTTAGAGAGAGCTGTAAAGCACTATAAAGAAGTATATAAGTCTAAGTGTTATTGCTATTGCTAAACTGCTGAATTAGGGTGTTGTTTTTTATGAGAGGCAAGATTTCACTGTTTTCCTGAAAATAAGATCCAACCAGAAAATAAGCCCTAGCATGATTTTTTTCAGGATGCTTGTAATTTAAGCCCTACCTCCAAAGTAAGTCCCAGTTAAGATAGTCAACCAGATGGATGCATTAATATCATATTTCCCCCAAAATAAGCCCTAATGCATCTTTTGGAGCAAAAATTAATATAAGACCTGGTCTTATTTTTTGGGGAAACATGGGTAGCTAAATTCTTCAGCATATATAGTCTGTGTAACTATATAAAGATGTTGATTGAACTCTCCTGCTCAGTTAACACCAACAATACATACAGATCTTGGTTTGAGCTTCTGATTGTTGTCTTTTCTTTTGAACAGGAAAACCATCCCGAGGCCCAATAGTCCAGCTTCCAGGAAAATCATTTGCGCGTTTCCAGGATGGGAAGCAGTACCTTGAAAACAGGGAGCAGAATCAAGAGACAACTTTCAGGTTCCATTACTGCATGTCATTTTTTGATGCCTTAACTGTAGGTAAGAATGAATGGACTTGGGTATTGTAGCACAGTTTCTCTAGAGAGATCTGCTGCGAACCCCACATAGGTGTCAGGAAGGGCATCCAACCAGTAAACGCTCAGCTATATTCAGTCACCCTGATGCAAAGGATTATAGGGTCATTAAAAGAAAAAAAAATTATAGCAATAGTTAAATGTCATGATCATTGTTTTGCTATGGACAGTTTTTGCAGAAAGCAGACGTATAGGCCAGTTTTGGGCTAAAACTTCATCAATTGCAATTATATGACCATGGGACACTGCAAATGGCTGTAAACGCAGACTGGATGCTGAGTGCCCAAAATACATGTGACCGCTAGGGGAGACTCAGCAGTTGGAACTTCAGGACCTGGTTGTAAATACCTTTCGGTGGGTCCGTTATAACTTCAATCAGTTGCTAAGTGACCGATCATAAGTCAAGGGCTTCTTGGGCACAGTCACATATGCTCTCATCATCTTGCAGCTGGACTACAGTAATTAGCTCTACAAAGGCCTATCCTTGAAGGCTATTTTGATGTTTCAGTTGGTACAGCGTGCAATTGCCCAAGTACTTATGGGGACATTGAAATTTGTCCATGTAACATCACTGTTTCAGATGCCGTGTTAGCTACCAGTCAGCTTCCGGGTGCCATTCAACTTGTAAGTTATCTAAAGCCAGAGTCTGTATAACTTGGGACTTATGGCTCTGCCTTTTGCAGACTGAATCTGATCATGAGATCCAGACAGAAAGCTTACGAAGGATTTCTTCTTCGAGAAATGCCACTTATAGGGACTCTGGGGAGGTAGGGGCTTTTCAGTGATAATCCCCCAGGTATGGGATTACTTATCCCTAGTTATCTGATCCCCTCTTCCACCTTTCTGGTTTTTGAAAGGACTTTATAAAAAATTTAAGCCCTTAGGAAAAATTTGGAGATATGGAGGCTGAGTGATTCTGTCACAGCAAGTTGCTAGAAGCATTTTACATGATTAGATGCAGTTAGCATTTTTGGTGTTTTATAAGCCTCTCAGAATCCACAGGAATGGAGCAACATAGAAGCACAGGGTTTTGTTTTTTTTTTTAAAGTGATTTTTACACTTCTCCTAAGCTGTTTTATAGTTTTTCCAGGTGAAAAGGCTGCAATACTCTTAATACTGTACTATTGAACACTAACATGGTTATTATAGAACAATGGTTCTTTAATAAAGTTTTAATGGATTTTATTCATTCAAACATTTGGTTTTATCTTTTTTCTCTCAGAAGCTCACAGTTGTTCCTTACCTTTTTTTTTTCTTTATAATGGGGGGGGGGGGTGAGATTAAATTGAAAACCTCCTATTATCTACTCAGCTGGAGGGAAATATAAACCTGAATTTCTTCAGCTATGGTTCAATGTTGATTAGGTTTTGCTATAATCTTGATTTCATTATAATTATAATTTTGTTGTGTCTTTATTATTATGTTATTGTAACCAAATAATGAAAGACTATAATTTAACATAAAAATGTGTATTATTATCAGAACTATATAAGCTTGTTAAATGTGACAAATGTGATCGATATTGTTCTATTTGTACCAAAATGTATAACACTCAGGTGCCACACTGTTCACGCTTTGAAATGTTTTTTAAAAATAAAAAACTTGGGGGGGATATGTTATTGTTACTTACCTTGAATGCTATTCTGGGGAGATATGGCAAGTTGTACATTTAAATAAATATATATATATATATAGCAGAATTCCAATCAATGCACATTTGTATCGATCAACAGATCAGTGATTATTATGTGTTTGATTAAAATATTCAAGGCATTTACATTTTATTTTATATAGATACGGAAGATAATCTGTACATCTTTAAAGGCAAGTATTACTGGATTGTATCCAAAGGAGAGTCTGCTGCTGGTCCATACCTTCTCCAAGCCAGATGGCCAGGTCTTCCTTCCGCCATTGATGCTACAGCCTTCTCAGAGAAAGACAGGAAATTCTACTTTTTTAAAGGTAGTTTCATTTGATTTGTGGATATCAAATCAGATCTTATTTCAGCTGCATCATTGTCCAGAGGCTATAGATAAAATATAATCTTTCATCCTCCACCTTTCCATTTACAATTTGGCTGTAAAAATTACAGCACACCTTTTCCAATTATTCTCAGAATTACTAGGATACACTGCTTGGAATATTTCAAAAGCCATTCTCTATCAATAGAAGATGGTGCTGATTTTTTAATGACATTGGAGAATTCCAAAGGGCAGTCTGGGTGAGCGATTGTGGGATTGCAAATCCTGCACAATTTTTTTAAAAATTAACAATGAACTCATAATCCCTTGCATCAGTGGTGAAATGTAAAATTTGTTACTACCGGTTCTGTGGACGTGGCTTGGTGGTGGAGTAATGTGACTGGGTGGGCGTGGCCAACTTTTTTTTTTTACTTTTAAAAGCATTTTTTCTACAACCTTAAGAGGTTGCAGAAAAAAATGCTTTTAAAAGCCTCTGACTACCAAGCAACTCAGCTGAGATCGTCAGAGGCTTTTAAAGGCATTTTCTTTTTACAACCTCTGACGATCCCAGCTGAGCTGTGCGATCATCGGAGGCTTTTTTTTTTACTTTTAAAAGCATTTTTTCTACAATCTCTTCGGCTGAAAAAATGCTTTTAAAAGTAAAAAAAAAGCCTCTGATGATCATGTGGCTCAGCTGGGCATTGGGGCGAGCAGGGATTTTTGCTACCGGTTCTCCGAACCACCTGCCACCATCGCTCCCGGATTGGGTGATCCAGTCCGAATTGGGAGGATTTCACCCCCGCCTTGCATCAGGCTGGAGTTGGGGCAACTGAAAGGAGCTGAGATGCCCTTCCCGGATGCCCTTCCTGTCACCAATGCAGACTTTGCAGCTGATATTTACTCATTGTGCCAGAGAGAGAAATATTTGCAGCTACCTAGGATCGAACTCACAGCCTCCTGATTGTGAAGCGAAAGCCCCACCTCTAGGCCACTGCACCACTCCCTGCGCATTAGATTCAAATTAAAGTCTTTTTAAACTGTGAGTTGGTTTTTTTTAAACTGATAAATTTAAACTGATTTCAAAGGGAGGTTCAATACAATACAGTATCCTCATATACTGATTAGATAGATCTGTTGTTATAGAAATGGCTAGTTTATACTACTACATAAAAGTAAAAAGTTGAAGTTGGATGTTAATACCTTATTATATTGCACCAAAGGGAGTCGGACGTCAATGCCTTTTCTTTCTTTTTCCCTTCTTTTCTGCACTCTTCCCTTCCCCTTCCTCTTCCCTATTTTTCCTGCTATTTGTTTTTGTATTTTTTATATTATAAACCAATTAAAAAGTGCAACAACAACAATAATACTGTAATAATAATAAACAGGCAGGGCCTTTTTTATAGATCTTTCTCCGTGTGACCTGCTTTTATTCTCCAGTTAGAAAAAAAAAAATCACCACATAAGCATTGGTGCCATCTGCTGGTTCTCTGTGAAAAATCATGCTTGCCTATTCTACTTTAATTCTGTCTCTGATTTAAATTAGTTCTCATCTTAGCTGTGATGACCCATTTTACAGGGTTGAAATGCTGCCAGGAATAATTATATTGTTTGAACAGTATTCCATTGTTGCATACAGAAAAAAATTGCTGTATTAATATCAAGATTTCCCCACATGTAGAATATGGGCCCTGCCACAGCTATCACTCAACCGTGAATAACACCCTTGCAGCCCATTTCAATAAAGGTAACGATTCCTCTGCGCTTAAAAAAATGAAGTTGGAAGAGATATTATGAACCCATGAAGAGTCTGGCCAGGCCTCTTTCGCTCAATCCAGCTTTCTGTGTAATCTCTTGGTTAGCCAGGTGCATTGAGGAAGGTGAGAATGCTCATGTTACAGGTGGTGCTCAGCTTATGAGCCGTCGCTTAGTGACAGCTCAAAGTTGTGATGGACCTCCCCAGAGCTACTTATGACCCAGTTTCAAAGTTCTGACAGTGGCCTCCCCTCATGGTCATTTAATCACATTTTGGGTGCTTGGCAACTGGCCGACATTTTCAACCGTTTGCAATGACCCATTTTCATGTGATTGTGATTTGGGCATTTTTTTTCTGAAAGCCAATTTTTACTTCTGGTTTCCTGCAAAAAAAAAAAAAAAAAGCCCATTGGCTAAAACAGGTCTGTTTAACGATCGTGGCATTTGCTTTAATGACGATTGCAAGTAAGGCAATAAAGCCGGGTGCAGTTACATGGTGACCCCCTTAATAACTGCCACAACTGATAGAATTACAGTCATAATTCCAGGCTCAGTTATAGATGTAAACCAAGGACTCTCTTTACTGGTTTTAAGCTATCTCTGGCTCACACGTCAGTGTATATCCATTAGCGCAGGTCATTGCTTTATTACTTGCAACAATTAGTACAATATCAGCATATCATCCCCAACAATCTGAGTCCTTGTTTTATTGAGCTCGGAAGGATGGAAAGATGAGTCAACCTTGAGCTGGTGAGACTCGGAACTGCCGAAATGCTGGCCGTTGGCAGTCAGCAGGATCGAACTACAGGCTGTGGGCAGAGTTAGCCTGCAACACGGCATTCTAACCACTGCGCCACCACCACTCCTCCTTGCAATTTAATGCAAGCAATAATGAAAATTCTCTATCAAATTATACAATAAAATACTCAGGCATCTCAGTCTGTAAACAATGTACTAGGCCTTATTGCACAGTAAATGAAAAGTGGGCCAGCCTTGCTTGCTATAATTGCAGATGCCAGAGGGATGGAACTGATTTAGGGTTTTTGAAGCTGGGCTGTGGAACAGCAAAAACAATAGCTATAGAATGCCATTCAAGCATTAGCTCTTCAGAGAAGGAGAAAGCAAGGCGCAGGCAGGAGATCTTTGTTCCTGCAACAGGGTTTAGATGGCAGTGGCTCTTGCTTGGGCTTGGCTCTCTCCCAGCTTAGAATAGAATAGAATAGAATAGAATAGAATAGAATAGAATAGAATACAGAACAGAATTCTTTATTGGCCAAGTGTGATTGGACACACAAGGAATTTGTCTTTGGTGCATATGCTCTCAGTGTACATAAAAAGACAAGATACATTCGTCAAGAATCATAAGGTACAACACTTAATGATAGTCATAGCGGTACAAATAAGCAATCAAATCATACTAGGAAACAATCAATATCAATATAAATCATTAGGCCTTGAGAGTGAGAGAGTGACATCCAGGCAGGGCCCCCTGTAAAAAAAGCATTTGTTCCTGAAATCATGAATCCTGTTTTACAGTTCTGGATATTCTGAGCCTTTCTGTGGAAACAACAAAGGAACTGGGGATCTATCTGGATACTTTGCAGCTGCTGTTCTGGCTTATTCTCCTGACATATATCCCACAACAAATCTAACATACCAAGCAGGTTATATACCAGGCATGCTGTATAAAGTCTCTTTAATGTGCTATGTCCTTTAGGGTTTGGGTTTGTATTTGCTCTTGACTCTTTTTGTGTCCCAGCTGAGTCTCTTTGTGAAATTGAGAAAGAAGGAAGGAAGGAAGGAAGGAAGGAAGGAAGGAAGGAAGGAAGGAAGGAAGGAAGGAAGGAAGGAAAGTTATACAACATTCTTAACTGGTTAGTTACAGACCAAATGTCTTCATTCACACAATATGCTAAGCATAACAGGTTACAAAAATACATAAAAATCATTAATAAGACCAATGTAAAACAGAATAAAATTAAGAATATTCAGTATACTATAACTCACCTACCAATAGGCGTACTGACCTCCACCAATGTTCTGGCCCAATGCTGACGAAAAAGCCAGGTGTTTGTGGACTTCTGAAAAGCAAATAGGTTCAGGGCCATCTGGATCTTGAGGCTGTTCCTAAGTCCAGTCCTGTGACAAGGAAATCCTGTCTTGTGAAATAATGTGGATGACATTATTTTAGAGAAGGCATCTGGCACATGCCCAACCTCCACCATGATACAAGTATGAATGTATGTTTTCTTAACTTAAGTAACTGTGGTCTTCAACTACAGGTGTGGTTTTATGATTTAGGAGCCCTGGTGGCACAGTGGTTACAATGCAGTATTGTAACTGCATTGTAACTCTGCCCAGTGCCAGGAGTTTGGCTCAAGGTTGACTGGTTCAAGGTTGGCTCAAGGTTGACTGGCTCAAGGAGTTTGGCTCAAGGTTGACTGGCTCAAGGTTGACTCAGCTTTCCATCCTTTCAGGATTGGTAAAATGAGGATCCAGTTTGTTGGGGGTAATATGATGACATTGTAAATCACTCAGAGAGTGCTGTGAAACACAATGGAGCAGTATATAAGTCTAAATTCTATTGCTATTTAATGATTGACAGGCTTTGTTTCCTTACAGCATTCTTTCCTCTGTTGCTTTCTACAGGTGGCCGATGCTGGCGTTACAAAGGATCTTCTCTAGAAGTTGGTTTTCCCCAAAAGTGCAGCCTTACTGGTGATCTCCCGCGCCACCCTGACACTGCCCTGTTCTTCCAGCCACTCCATCAGCTGGTGCTTTTCAAAGGACCTAAGTATTATGTAGTCAATGAGGAGGTTCTCCAAGTGGAACCATATTATCCCCGAAGCTTGAAAGACTGGGGAGGGGTTCCAGCTCTGGCAAATGGAGCCGTCACACATCAGGATGGCTTTGTCTACTTCTTTCGAAACGACCAATTCTGGAAATTCAACCCAGAGAAGCTAGAAGTAGTAGAAACTGGAAAGTGGGCTGTTCAGCTGAGGTGGCTAGGCTGTCAGGATGTCAGTCTAAATCAAGCTGGGGCCTGATATTTCTGTTTAATCTCTGGATTTGTCACTCTTTTTCCTAGCAAAATCTCCAGAAGGCTAGAACTTGTTAATTTACTCCGTGTTCAGTAGCGTTTCCACGTTTGCTTTTAATCTGGTCCCACAAAGAGATTACAGAAAAACCAAAAGCAGTACACAAAGCCTGAGCCAAAAATTGCATTTTCTGGATGAAAAATGCAAACCCTCCGGAAGCAAAACAGTTTGATATGAGGAACCATCAATCAAGATTGGCACCATCAATGTTGAGTGTTAATTTATTGTGAAGCGGGTGAGACACACTGATTCTTGATTTGCAGTGATCATAAGACACTAAATTGATGTTTTGCCTTCTAGTCTAGTCAGTCAGGCATTCTAGAAAAGAAGTGTTATTCTCCGCTGGCAATTGGTTGCACCTTCATATAGAAACGGATCTTCTTCTTACAGCTATCAGCTTAACTTAGAGTCTTCTGTATTATTGTCCATCTTTATTATCCAGAAGTGACTACCATGGAGAATGCAAAACCAGGTCTTTCCAGCAGTAAATTTTCCTCTACAACTGAGCCTCAAATACCGGTGCCTAATCATGTACCGTCTGCCTAGGGAGTTCATTCCATTTGTTACTTCTTGAGTAACTTCTGGAGCTTTCCCCACCATCCAGCTAGAGGTGAAGAAGCTTCTTGGATGAGAAGCAAAACGTCTTCAAAGAAAAATCAGAAAGTCCAGTTGCCTCTTGAAAAGCATCTTTGGGACAAGCATGACCTGGATGACTGAGAATCTCCATAGACTTATGGAGCTAAGAGTGTTCCACATTACTACCTCTGTTTCCTCTTAGATACTGTAATGTAATTTCTGTATGGTGCTTTTAGTTTCTTTCTTACACAGGTAGCCATTTTGTAGGATCATGCTGTTATATTATAGCAGTCCTTTATTCTTTTTCCATGTATATAGTTTCATTGCAACAATTGTATAAAGAAAAAATATGGGACAATGGTACACTCAAGAAAGAACTCCACACCATCACAACAGATTGAGACATGAATCTGAGTCTTCCCTTTGGATACCCAGGTCTCCTTTGAATGCATTAAATTGCTACAAGATTTTTTCTTTACCTAATATCTCCTGGATCTTCTAACATATTGATATTATTTCTGTCAGTCATGAAAAATCAAGATCAGATATAAGTTCCAGTTCAAAAGATTTATTGCTCAAGCCTGTACATAAGAATCTAGTCAACTAATGGTCGACATCAGTGGTGAAATCCAAGTTTTTTTACTACTGGTTCTGTGGGCGTGGCTTGGTGGGCATGATGTGGCTTGGTGGGCATGGCTTGGGGAAGGATACTGCAAAATCTCCATTCCCACCTCACTCCAGGGGAAGGATACTGCAAAATCTCCATTCCCACCCCACTCCAGAGGAAGGATACTGCAAAATCTCCATTCCCACACCACTCCAGGGGAAGGATACTGCAAAATCTCCATTCCCTCTCCACTCCTGGGGGAAGGATATTACAAAATCTCCATTCTCACCCCACTCTGGGGCCAGCCGGTGGTATTTGCTGGTTCTCCAAACTACTCAAAATTTCTGCTGCTGGTTCTCCGAATTGCTCAAAATTTCCACTACCGGTTCTCTGGAACCTGTCAGAACCTGCTGGATTTCACCCCTGGTCGACACTAAATTGGTGCTAATGTAGAGAAGAATTAATGGAATTCAAGAGCAGCTGGACTTGGAGAGTTTATGGACACATAACGATTCTAGGCTGAGTCCTCTCTTGATTCTGTCCCCAGATTCTGCCTGCTCTTCTACAATTTTCAGTAGACATGCCGTTCTGAGGTAATTTTTCTCAAACGGATATATTGGAAAGATGGTGCTATTTTTAATAGATGTCTCTATTTAGAGGTTTGGAATATTCTTTTATCATTGTTCCCAAGAACATATAAAGAGACATTCTGATTCAACCGATATGAGATCGATTAGTATTTGATTTCCCACATCGAAGCCAATAGGCAGATGTTCCCAGCAATGGTGATTGAGATGGTTACGTTTCCAAGCTTTGGTGATATTAGTGTCATGTGAACTGTCTTCTATAATTCCTAGACAAGCTCCTCTGGCACTCAGAATTTGGTTGTTCTGGAGGACTGAGCTCAGATAGTATTATACTCTATCAAGCAACCATGCCAGCAGCCTTCGCCAAAGCACATGAAACAATTGGTCTTGTGCTAAATATACACTTGGATAATGGGTATAATAACCCTGTGTCTGGGCTGTATATATCTTAAATTGTAGGTCAGGGAGAGCACAACAGTTTGTTTCATTCCACATATGAAGGCATATATGTGTCAGAAGGAGTTCAGAATATTTTTTCTTACTTGTAAGACTAGCTTTTATGGGTTTCAGTGTGGATTGTATGTGTATGGAATCATGCATAGTTTTCAGCCACATGGGGATTTTTCTTAAATGACTGGTATTCAAGCATTTTCCTTTGTTCACACCCATTTACAATATAATGCCTTGGGGAAAGTAATTTGTTAGAACTTCATAGCAGGAAATGAGCTCCATCATTTTTCTCTCCTTCCAAGGCTTCTAGAGTAACATAGTGCCAAGTTTACGATTACTGAATTTTATCTTTCAGGAATTGAATATGACATATTATATGACAATTATATTTCATATCAGGGTATAGGGGATTATAGCCATATTCCGACTTTATGGTTTCTGTGTTCTTCCCCACTTTAGCTGTCAGGAAGTGACAGTGATCTATCCTGATACTTTTCTGCCAGGTTTCAGAGGGATAGATAACTGAATTGGTGTGTTCACTTGCAGCAATGTTAGAACATGCAGTGTAGTTTGTGATTTTTCAAATTTACTGGGGATAAGCATTCATAGGCTCACCGTGGAAAAAGATGGAGTTCCAGTTTTGACACCTAATTGATGCTTCCCACGCTGAGAAATTTCCAGTTAAGTATTGTAGCTATATTCATGGATTTACCAAAAAGGAATTGCTGAGCATCAAAGAAACCATGGCTTCAGTGCTAAAGATCCAGTTCCATCTCAGACATCTCTCAGGTAAGCCTTCAAAAGCTCTTCTTGCATCTTTAAAAAAATGGTGTTGAGTTAGAGTAGACAAGACTTAGTCCGTGAGCCATACCACCCCATCACTCATCAGGCTTAGAAGCTGTTGCAATGGAGGATAAATTCTTTAGAACGCGATTTATAAATTGCTTTCTGGAAATTCTTAGGACGTAAAGGGTGTAGCAGGAAGATAACCCTTAATCAACGTACAGGTAGTCCTCGCCTTACAACAGACTGTTGGAAGTTACAATGGCATTGAAAAAAGTGGGTTATGACCAGTAGTGGATTCCACTTACCTTCGCTACCGGTTCGGAACTGAGCGCGCTCGCTCATGCACGGTGCTTCTGCGCACGCGGAGAGCATCTGTGATGACGTCCAGGCAGGTGGATGAAGCCTCCTGCTGCCGCCACTACCGGTTCTCCCGAACTGGGGTGAACTGGTAGAAACTCACCACTGCTTATGACCAGGGGTGAAATTCAGCCGGTTCTATCTGGCTCAGGCGAACCGGTAGCGATGGCTGCGGGAGGCTCCGCCCACCCGCACGGACATCATGACGTCACTCTTGCGATGATTTTAAGCCTCCGCGCATGCAGTGTGCACACATTTGTGAACTGGTAGGGAAGGTAAGTGAATTTCACCCCTGCTTATGACCGTTATCACAATTATTGCAGCATCCCAACGGTCATGTGATCAAAATTCAGAAGCTTGGCAACTGGTTCATTTTTATGAGGGTTGCAATGTCCTGGGATCATATGATTAACATTTGGGACCTTTTGACAAGCAAAGTCAATGTGGAAGGCAGATTCACTTAACATGTTACTAATTTAACAACTGCAGTGATTCACTTAACAGCTGTGGCAAGAAAGATCATAAAATGGGCAAAACTCACTTACCGTCTCACTTACCAACAGAAATTTTGGGCTCAATTGTCATAAATCAAGTGCTACCTGTATTGTAATCCATGGATGTTTCCTAAGGAACAATTTAGAATGGGAACAAATTAGTGGTGAAATCCAATTTTTTTTACTACCGGCTCTGTGGGCGTGGCTTGGTGGGCGTGGTGTGGCTTGGTGGGTGTGGCTTGGTGGGCATGACAGGGGAAGGATACTGCAAAATCTTCATTCCCACCCCACTCCAGGGGAAGGATACTGCAAAATCCCCATTCCCTCCCCACTCCTGGGGGAAGGATATTGCAAAATCTCCATTTCCTCCCCACTCCTGGGGAAAGGATACTGCAAAATCCCCATTCCCTTCCCACCACTCCTGGGGCCAGCCAGAGGTGGTATTTGCCGGTTCTCCGAACTACTCAAAATTTCCGCTACCGGTTTCCAGAACCTGTCAGAACCTGCTGGATTTCACCCCTGAAACAAATGCTTCTAATCATGGCTTACTATGATAGCTAAGCTAGGACAAACTGCAGTTAAGGTAAGGAAAAACAAGCCGGCTTCAAACCCTTTCTTATAAAATGGATTTGCCTTCATTCACCAAATTTATAATAAACCATTCTTTAGGGGAGATTTGATTAATTCCTATGACTTTCTACACTATACCACTTGGGAAGACTGGTCTGGAAAGATTTTTAAGAAATACATTAATTAAATAATTCCAAATGAAAAGCTTTCAAGCTCTTTGTGGCTGTGAAATAGGAGAGGGGGAACTGCAAGAGATGCTGCAACTGGTTTTCATGTCGTGTGATTGAACATTATAGGTAAACCAGATACAATTTGGTAAGCTTGGCAAAACATTGAACTGGAGATTCATAGTCTCCAGGCTTTGCTCACCAAATTCTCTAGGTCATGGACTTCTAGGGTGCAGAACCTATTAGTTAAAAAAAAATATTATTAGACTCCCCTGGTCAAGGAACAAAACTTTTATGATAGAAAATTGGCTATTAAACAAAACTTCTGCGCATTGTAATTTATTTATTCAGATTTCTATTTTAAGGTTACTTAAATTTCACAAAAACAATTGGCCCAATAACCATCCCAGAAAGCTCATCCGCTTAGCGTAACTTTAAAAAGTAAAGAATTTATTGTAAGTGCAAGATTATCATTTCCAATGTAGAAAAATGAAAATTTTCACAATTACTTGGGAGATTAAAACCAACAATTTATTATATATCCCATTTTAGGATTCCATGGAACAGTTTGAAAAACTCTCAACTAGAGAAATAAACAATGCTTTGTAGTGGCTGCGTTATACAACTCACAACCAGGACTGGGCAGTTATAAAACATGTTTCCGAAATAATGATTGACACATCCAAACCACAGCTACTTCACAGCTACAAAATTAAACCTCACCAGTATTCTTCAGCTATGAAATCTTGGTGTTCCAGGCAGATCTGATTATTATGATAGTTACCAAACTGAGTGCTGTTGTGGTGGAATGTAGTCTGGATTCCCAAGAGGGAGGGGCTGCACTCCAGAAAGCAAAGATGCAGTAAAGCACAGGAGGTTTGGTAGGGAGAAAAATAGTTAAGAAGGCTCCTCCCTAGTGATTCCCAGACTATATCTATAGTGATGCAAATAGTTGCTTTAGTTTGACAAGATGTTTGTCTAGAAGTGAGGAAAAATAAAGTAAATTACTCAGAAGTAATTCCATATGTCTTTCTTGGGGCCTGATGGGTGAGGAATTATGTCTGATGCTTTGGAGATTGACTGGTGGCATTTTATGTGAACATGGTCATCGTGTTCTTATTTTTGCAATATTTTATCATAATGGCAACATAATAATTTTCTTCTGTTGATGATCAAGACTACTGAGGAATTGTTTTCACCTTTGATTTCTTGCTGCAATGTGCCATTTGGTCTCTTTTTCCTTGACTGAAGAATGCAAAAGGGAGTTGGTCATTCTTTGTCCTCCTTCATGTTGCAACATGCCAATGTTGACTTTTGTCAATCCCATATTGACAAACTGCTTAGAGGGCAGCAGCCTGTTTCCTAGGATTAGCCATTTGTTTACCAGTGAAAAAGCATGTGTGATGCATACATATACATTGAACAATTTTGCAATAGGTGGCAAAGCTGGAAGAGGACAGATAAGTCTTTTTTGGACAGCCAAAGTGGCAAAAGGGATACTTTGCAATGGATTCTCAATGGTAAAAATGGGCAACTAGAAGACTTAACATCTATCAATGTTGTTTCACCTGCTTCATCACTTACATTTCTTTGCTACCTTTCGCTGAGCAAAGAGCTCTTTTGTTAGAATTGTTAGAATTAATATTTCTTCTGATTCTCAGAAACCACGCATTTCAGAGTTAAGGACTTTACAACTATGTTTTCCCAACATGGTAAACCTCACTCTTGGGTTAACAAACTACTGGAGATGGGCAAAACACTATCTGTTTCTCACTGGAAACAGCCCGTCTATGTATTCCCACTGGCTGGTTCAGGTTTTTCCAGAAGTGGATTGTCCAGAACAGGAAGTAAAAGTCTTAAAATAATTTGTGTCAGGAATACCACAAACCATTTCCTGCTCCTCCACTTCCAGAAATGCATGAATTAGTCCTGGAACACCTGGGTTGTCCCATTGTGAGTGAAAATGGCCAATGATTCATATACTGAAGACACAGCTGCTATGAATAGAACACATGCACTGTCTAAACACATCTTATTGTTTAACATAATAATACAGTTCATATTATGCTGAGATGACACACTGAACCACTGTATCAGACCAGGAAAAGGAAATCCTCTAGGCCAGGGATCCCCCAGCACCAGACTGTAGCAGGTTAGAAACCGGGCCACGCAAAAAAACAAATCCATGGGATGTAGGCAGTATGTGAAATCACGTCGCCTCTGGTCTGTGGAAAAAACTGTCTCCATGGAACCAGACCCTGATGCCTAAAAGATTGGGGGCCACTACTCTAGGCAGTTTAGCAGACATGCAGATCTCGTGGAGGCCATTCACTACTTGTATAGGGCAGATGGAATGGCCTTGAAGAGCTGCCACCAAGGCGACAGTCAGATAAACGGGGCTTGAGCCCAGACCAATACAATAACCTGAGAAAATGTTTCTGATAGGCCGCTTCCTAGTTCACATAAAGTGAAGGAGGGGGAAGCACCTGGAAGATTCTGTTACTATAGCTGTTCAATAAAATCTCTATAGCATTAATTTCTTAGTCTGGTTTACCTTCTTGAGCTAACAGAGTTTCTGCCAAAGATGTTACTGTTTTGCTTTCAGTCATTCATTTCCTACCAATAATGGGATTTTAGGTTGACTTCCAGATGAACTTTTCATTCTAAATGACACAACTAAAATCATTGGCTAATGACAATAACTTTGGGAGAATTCCCTCACACTATAAACCACATATGATGGTCATAAGAGGTTCTGAAGGTATAAAGACATATTTCTAGACCAAACATGAAACATTGGTAGGAGAAGCTACCAACATGGAGGTAACAGGTTGGAGAACATTGATCCTTTCTGGATTGGGACTCGTTAAATACGGTCACTCATGCCCTCGTCACTTCCCGCCTGGACTACTGCAATGCTCTCTACATGGGGCTCCCCTTGAGGAGCACCCGGAGGCTCCAGCTGGTCCAGAATGCGGCCGCGCGGGTGGTTATGGGAGCGACGTGGCACTCCCATGTGACCCCCCCTCCTGCACGAGCTGCACTGGCTCCCGGTGGTCTTCCAGGTGCGCTTCAAGGTTTTGGTTACCACCTTTAGAGCGCTCCATGGCTTAGCACCGGGGTATCTACGAGACTGCCTTCTGCCACCAGTAGCCTCTCACCGACCAGTACACTCCCATAGAGAGGGACTTTTTAGGGTGCCGTCGGTCAAACAGTGTCGACTGGTGGCCACCAGGGGGAGAGCCTTCTCTGTGGGGGCACCCGCCATCTGGAACAAGCTCCCCCTGGAGATATGGAGGATCCCGGATATGCACGCTTTCCACCGTGCCCTCAAAACATTCCTATTCCAACAGGCCGGCCTGGCCTAACCTCTCTTTTAAACTGTTTTTAAATTTTTTAAATTTTAAATTTGTCTTGTAAATGTGGGGTGTTTTAAATTTTGTTCTCTGGACCAATTTATTTAATTGTATTTTAATGGTTTTTTAACATTTGTATTATATGTATTTTATCTTTTGGCTGTTCACCACCCTGAGTCCTTCGGGAGTAGGGCGGTATACAAATTCAATTAATAATAATAATAATAATAATAATAATAATAATAATAATAATGACAATGACAATAATGATAATAATGATGATGATGATGATGATGATGATGATGATGATAATAATAATAATAATAATAATAATAATAATAATAATAATAGTATGAAACAGACTAGGTCATAGTCAAAATCTATGAGCTGAGTAAACAGAGGTAGAAATTAAAACCATTTTAATCCTTAGGATGCTATAGTTAAGATTCTTCTGGTATCATTCCAACCTTGCTATAACTCTTATGTTTTTGGAAATCCTCAAAGCCAAATAGATTTTATTTACAACAAAACAATCCTATCTCCATACACATATAAGTAGTTATGGTGAATTTGGCCAAACTTCCATTCTTTTAGGTAAATAGATTAAGCAGACGGCTGGTGGTGTTGGTGGACCCTCAAGAAATAAATCCATTGTTCCCTCTTTATGGCCATTTTGTCTCTCTGCCTTCTGCTTCCACTGGAGCACCAACTAAATCTATGGAACCTGGAATAAAAACAGTTAAATCAGACCAAGGTTTATCCAGTCCAGCATTGTTTCCACTGGTGATAAGCTAAATACCTTTCCTCTTTAGCCTTTGCATTTGGCATGGTTACATTTATAACTAATAATGAGAGATGTTCCATTGAGACATGCTATGTGCTAAATTTTGTTTTCCATAAATGTGTGTTTTTTTAAAAAAAACATAATATCACACTTGCTACCTCAGACCAAAATGTCCTTCAAGTTCAATATCTGCTGTCCAATCATTGTAGCCAACTACTGGTAAATACTTCCTCCTAGAACAGTGTTTCTCAACCTGGACAACCTTAAAATGTGTGGACTTCAACTTCCAGAATTCTGAGAGTTGACGTCCACAGATCTTCAAGTTGCCAAGGTTGAGAAACATTGTTCTAGGAGGAAGTATTTAGTTGACTACAATGATCGGAGGTTGAGAAACACTGACCTAGAACATCCAGATAGTCCCTGAAGGGATATCTTCTCCCAGTGGGTTGTCTCCATATGTTGAATGCTGAGAGGCAGGTGGTTTTTGAATACCAAGTCCAATACAATTTCTGCAGAACTCTGAGATAAAACCGGTGCAGAATTGTAGTTAAGAAGTTATGGTAGGATTTGGAAAATCCACATTCAAACTCACATTCATCTTCAGCAAGGATGAGTTCTACTTACCTTTACTACTGGTTCGCAATGGGATCGTGCACGCTTCACTCACACATGTGCCTTGCTTCACTCGCTTGCGTGTCTTGCTTCTGCGCATGCGCAGATCGCCGATGATGACATCTGGGGTGGTGGGTGGGGCTTCCTGCCGATTTTACTACCGGTTCTTGCGAACCGGTCCAAACCGGGGGCAACTCACCACTGATCTTCAGCCATGGAAACACATTGACTGTAGGCTAAGCTGAGCCTACTCACAAATTTGAAGTGCTATAACAAACTTTGAGTTCTCAATTGAGAGTCTGGGGAAAGGGTGAGATATGAAGCTGACAAACAGGAGACAAACATATTTATTAGATGTTTATCCCTTGTTTATTTTTAGTCAGCACAAAGCATCCATAGAACAGGAACTCAGTGGGATGGATTGGGTTGAGAGACAGCAGCTTGATCAAAGTCATCCAGCTGGCTTTCACGCCTAAGGCAGGACTAGAACTCTCAGTCTCCTGATTTCTAGGCCAGCACCCTAGCCATTAAGATTAAGGTAACCAAAAGTGCTTAAATTATCCCTTTTTGGGGCTATTTCAGGTTCTGTTCTCTCCAGGGAGCGAATCAGATGCTGCTGGGAATTTCATAAGCAATTTTACATTTACCATCACCAGAAAAGAAATGAAGCAGCCTCTCTTTCCATATCATTAGCACCATTCCTGGTCTCGGAAAATTTTCTCAGCTTTACCAACTTGCTAAATAAATAAACCCAGTCACCAAATTCTACAATGTAGAAACCCAGAAATGTGACTTGCCTGTGCTCACTGCGGGACTCAGAGCCTCTGGCAAGCTCTCTGTGCTGTGACCCAGGAGCCCATGTTCAATGAAGACCCGGCTGTAATGTAACGTCTCACATTTTTTGCAGAACATAATCTCACACGCCGGGCACATATTACTGGATGTTTTTTTTCTCTGGATTTGGCAGCAAACGGGCTCCTGAATAGGCTTGTTTCTGCATCAAAGAAAGAATTAAGACACTTAAAATGACCCAGACAGTGGTGGATCTGTGGGCGTGGCTTGGTGGGCGTGGCAGTGGAAGGATACTGTAAAATCTCCATTCCCTCCCAATCCAGGAGAAGGTTATTGCAATATCCCCATTTCCTCTCGATCAGCTGGGACTCGAGAGGCATAGAATAGATGGTGGTGGGGTCAGTCAGAATTTTTACTACCAGTTCTCCAAACTACTCAAAATTTCCGCTACCGGTTCTCCAAAACTGGTCAGAACCTGCTGAAACCCACCTCTGGACCCAGAGTAAAAACCCAGAGCAGATGATGATTTTTGAACTCTGCTGCTTAAGGTTGTAATTACAGGTAGTCCTCGACCATTTATTTATTTAGTGCCTGTTCAAAGTTACAACATCACTGAAAAAAGTGATTTATGACCATTTTGCGCACTTATGACCGTTGCAGCATTCCCGTGGTCGTGAGATCAAGATTCAGATGCTAGGCAATTGACTCAGATTTATTTATGACAGTTTCAGTGTCCTGGGATCATTCATGTGATAATCTTGCGACCTTCTGACAATCAAAGTCAATGGGTAAAGCAGACTGACTGACTTAAATTAATTTAACAATTGCAATGATTCACTTAACACGTGACGACAAAAGTTTGAAAAATGGAGTAGAACTCACTAAATAAATGTCTCGCTTAGCAATATACTTTTTGGACTCAATTGTGATCGTAGGTTGAGGACTACCTTGTATTTGCAAATAATCAAACAAGCAGATAGCGCCAGATGTTCATTTTTACAAATGGTTAATGGGTTTTTTTCCCCCCTGGGGGAAGATGCAAAACAAAATTGTTCTTTCTAACTGCAGTGGAAACTTTCAAAGCTGATTCTTCCTCTGAACTCAACCACAGAGCTAGGGTATCAAACTCAAGGCCTGTGTGCCAGATCTGGCCCACAGGGTGCTTAGATTTGGCCCATGGGGCCGCCCTGGAAACAGCAAAGGGCTGGCCTGTGGTACCTCTGCCAGCGCGGTCCTCCCGAGCTCCATTTTCTCTGGCAGAGGATTGCAGGAGGCTGTTGCAGCCAGAAATGGAGCTTGGGAGCCCATTTTCGCTGGCAAAGCACTTGGGCCATTACAGACGCCCCCGACACGAGTGACGTCAGGCTGGCTTCACCCACCCTGGCCACGCCCACCCCAGCTCCTCGAGGTCAAACAGAACCCAGATGCAGCCCTCAATGAAATAGAGTTTGATACCCCTGTCCTATTGTATTCATCAATGATGATGGAAGGTGGGAGTAGCAAAAATGCTGATATGATTGCCTTTGAATATAGCCATTCAGCAATTTATGACTTTCTCTAAAACACGGATGGTATAATTCTGTTCAGTTCATTGACTGTGAGCTTGATTTATTTATTTATTTATTTGTTTAAATTTCTATACCGCCCTTCTCCAATGTAGGACTCAGGGCGGTGAACAGCCAAAGTAAAAACAAGACATACATACAAAACATACAATTGAACCCAGTAAGACTTAAAGTCGCAAGTAAACATTTTAAGACAGTAGGGCGAGAGAGGGAGAATCTGTTTAATAAAATGAACAGTCTAGCACTCTTTGGATAACGTAGACAAAAGAAAATTATATTTTTTCCTCGGATGATGTGAAATTTAGGGCTGTCCTTTGAAAATAAACACGGGAAGATTCAGGGCTTAGAAACAGAAGGATTTCTTTACAAATTATGTTTTTCGTTGCTATGAGATACAGGACTTGTTCACATGGCCACTGGTTTTGCTCCCTGCCAAAGAGGATTTTAATGTGAAAAATACTTAATTGCATGGTGTCCAGCTGGGAAAAAGAGGCAGGACTTATCATAATATGAGAGTTTCAATTGATGAGTAGAAGACTCATAGTTTAAAGACCTGGGCTCTTTCTTGCATCAAGAACCATCTTTTCAACTGTCCCTAACATGGTGCTCAACACCTTAGTTGAACTTCAGCCCCCCCACCCCATCATGGGGAATCCAGAGATTAAAGACTCATCATGACACCATCAGGGAAGCTGCAGATCTGTAGCACTGAGTACAGAGATGGAGTAGATGGCCTCCAAGGATCTCCCCAATGTTAGGATTCCACATTTCTACCCTCTGGATAGCCTTAAATGGAGCCTTTCAAGTCTGACCACCATGAAGGAGAAGACGCCTGGTTTAAAGCATTGGCTAGTACCTGTCTCCCAACCAGGTCAGCCCAGAGAGAAGGGGGAAGGGAAACCACCCCCAAAGCCAACTCTCAGGCTTCAGTGTTTGTTCCGCGGTTGAAGTCTGAGGACCTTCTAGCAGGCTAAAATCGGTTATGTCTGCATTGGCTTCCAACTCCTTTTCCGCTGCTTCTAACTCTTGGTGGCATTTTTCATCTGACTGGTTGTCTTCCTGTTCTTGTCTGTTTTGGGACATTGGAAATCATTTAAAACCTGCCCCGCGAGAAAGAAGAGAAGACAAACGATAACAGTATGTAGCAATAGCAATAGCACTTAGACTTATATACTGCTTCACAGTGCTTTACAGCCCTCTCTAAGCAGTTTACAGAGTCAACCTATTGCCCCCAACAATCTGGGTCCTCATTTCACTGACCTCGGAAGGACGGAAAGCTGAGTCAACCTTGAGCTGGTGGCTCAAACTGCTGAAATGCTGGCAGTTGGCAGTCAGCAGAACTAGCCTGCAATACTGCATTCTAACCACTGTGCCACCACAGCTCTTAGTAGTAAAGAATAGGTCAATGAAGACTCAACCAGGCCAAAGACGTCTAAAGGTCAAATCACGGCAACTGGACCAAGTTTTGTTAATCTGAGACATTTCTCTGCTCATCCAAGCAACTTCATCAGTCAGAAAAAAATTAGGCAGGGAGTCAAAAAGTCATTGGAATGTACCAACTCTTGACACGCCAACTTCAGGGATTTCTCCACAAATGTATTGCAATATGTCAATGAAGACTCAATCATGCAGATCAAAGGTGTTTAAAGGTGAAGAATAGTAAATAGTAAAGAACAGGAGACACAGACCCTAGCTTCTTTGAGAATATGTTTTGGGTGTTCAAGGACACTGGTTGTCATGGGGAGGGGGTCTTGCCCATTTATGGTGCAAAATAGCTGCAGCAGTGGTTGCCTCTAGCTGCTCTCAAAACACCCCAGAAGATTGCTCCTTCCTGTCCTCTGTAGCCACCCTTCCCATCCAAAACATTTGTTGACAGTTCCCAATTTATTACTCTCTTGTGTCTGAGCAGTTGAGTACTTTTTACAAGCAAAGCAATGGGTTTGCCTTTATTCTTTTCTTTCTTTCTTCCTAGCAAGTGCAGGATTGGCTTTTTTGGATCAACCCAGTATTCATCCACTGATTGCAACAGGAATTGGCTAACTGACTTGTTGTCTAAGCCTGACATCATAGGCTGAAAGCAAGGGTGGGCTGCTGGGGGTTCGCAGGGGTTTGGGAGAACCTCTAGCTAAGATTCTGTGCAGAATCCCATTCCCCCACCCACCCCACCCCTCCCAGGAGTCCCCAGGCGGCCCGTTTTGGATACAGGTAAGTGCAGGGTGTGTGCGGAGGCTCGGGGAGGGGGAAAAACAGGCCTACCGGAAGTTCAGAAATGCCTTTCAGAGGGCCTCCGGAGCCTTGGGAGGCCGTTTTCGCCCTCCCAGAGGTTCAAGAAAAGCCTCCAGAGCCTGGGGAGGGCAAAAACACTCCCCTGCTGTGATGCAAGAGGCCGACTAGGCCATGCCCACCATGGCCACACCCACCCAGCAACCAGGCAGAGAACCTCTTGCTAAAATTTTTGAAGCCCACCCTTGCTGAGAGAGCGTGACTGGCCCAAAGTCACCCAGTTGGCTTTCATGCCCAGGGCAGGACTAGAACTCACAGGTCCTGGTGATCATCTCAAAGTCACTTAATCAGCTTTCATGCCTAGGGTAGGACTAGAACTCACAGTCTCCTGGTTTCTAGCCAGGTGCCTTAACCACTAACCAAGCTGGTTACCAAATGGATTTGCCATCATTCTGGTGTTTTATTTATTAAGAATGGGCCTTTATGGAATTCAAGTTTTTTTCAGAACTTGTATTGAGCTTTGCAGTAAACCAGAACCATTGTCACTCGTGTTTAAGATTAATCTTTAATTTAAAATAAATGACTCAAAGACCTTCCAATATTTACATTTCAAAAAAACAAACAGTCTCATTATGAATACCATCATAAAACGTAGAAACTCCAAATCAAGCAACATATCATTCTTTAAAATCTCACAAGGAAGTTTATGGAGTGTGACTACAAACATACAGGCCGCTGACAGATCTGCCAGCTGGACTGTATTTTATTAGCTTTGATTAGGAAAAGAAAGCAAAGTTGTGAAGAATCATTGCTAACACAAATCAGGACCTTTCATCAAAGAAAGATTCAACTCTTACTGGATTTTCTTTTAATTCTCCCGTTTTACTAATTTGCCAAAACAATAATAATAGTAATTCCTGAAAGGCCCTTAAGGATTCTGATATTCCAACAGATGTTGTCATAATTTCTATGTTAATCATTGCCAGCAATTAAAAAAAAATTCTGCATTTATTTTACTTTCCATTACTGTGAATGGAAAAGAAAACTATTTTTTTTCCAGGCAGCCAAAATGCCTCATTTCCCACAATTTGGAGTCTATTGAAGTTCCACGGAGATATCACTATAAAGGTCAATGCTGGACAAACACATGCATTGAGCCCATGGGCTACAAATGGCATGTAAACCACATAGGCATTAAATCATGCACTGCAGACATCATGATTTATAATATATTTGCATTTCACATTTGCAAATATGAAAGGGCTGGGTCTACCTCTAGATGTCAGGACGTACATTTTGTTATTTTCTTAGTCACTGAAGTTAGCAATGGATGCCTATGTGGTTTACATGCCATTGGGCTACAATTTCCTCGACGTGGCCAACTCGTCATGGCCAACTTGACGTAGGACAAAAGTTACACTCAGTGGTGGGATTCAACTAATTTAACAACCGGTTCTCTGCCCTAATGGTTTCTTCCAACAACCAGTTCACCAAACTGCTCAGAAAATTAACAACCGGTTCTCCCAAAGTGGTGCGACCTGGCTGAATCTCACCACTGGTTACACTAATATCAAAGAAATGGTGGAGTAGAATCATTAAAGAAAGGATGCCAAAGGAGAGACAAAATGAAATACAAATGACAAACATTAAAAATATTTTAATAATTATTTTAAATAATTAAATTGAAGTGTTGAATTGTCCCGTGGCAAGTTGTCCCTCGGCAAGTTGGCCAGGGCAAGTTGTCCCATTCTGATTTACTACTAGTTTAAAATCTTTTATCCTTGCAACCGGCTTCTTCGTTTTATAATCCTTAGCAGGACCACAGGAGCCAAATGGAAACAAATGGAAACAAGGCAGGGGTGAAATCCAGCAGGTTCTGACAGGTTCTGCAGAACTGGTAGCGGAAATTTTGAGCAGTTCGGAGAACTGGCAAATACCACCTCTGGCCATGCCCACAGAACCAGTAGTAAAAAAATTGGATTTCACCACTGAAATGAGGTCTATGATTTCTCAGGGTTTCAAACAACCCATTCTCTTTCCAGTATTAAGGCATAACATCTCTTTTTTTCCAGCCCAAAAGAAAAAGGAAATAGTACCTTCTATCTCATCAGATGATGACCTCTCCCATCAGGATGTCACACTGTACCTAACTAAACGAAAACAAAATTGGCTTCAGCCATTGTGAAGTCATGTGGAATTTCATATACGGTAGTAAGTTCTGGTGAAACAGCACAGGATCAGCAAGGAACATTCTCTCTATTCAGTTCCTGGTAGGCTACCCATCGAAGTGAATAAAGCTTTTTCTAACCCCAAACCAATTTCATTTAAATGTTTTAATTGGTTTGTGATTTTTAATTTTTGGGCCAAATTTATATATATTTTAATTGTTTTTTAATATTTGTATTTCATGTTCTTAATTCTGGCTGTACACTGCCCTGAGTCCTTAGGGAGAAGGGCGGTATATAAATTGGAAATAAATAAATAAATAAAAATAAATTCCCATCTAGCTTTTTTTGGAAATCCGCATGAGCACCGAATAAGGACAGTCTTTGCCCAGCATTCATTCAAAGTCAGTTGGATCTTTCCCTGAGAAAAATGAATCTGGCCACAGCAATATATGATTTCATTATGTTTAATCTAGACAGTTGTAACCTATGTAACTGACCTTCACATATGTTGGTAACTTCAAATAATATAAAGGAGCAAAACAGATGGTTGATATCATGTACTTTTCGACAGGGGTCTCCAACCTTGGCCACTTTAAGACTTGTGGACTCCCAGAGTCTTAAAGTCGTCAAAGTCTTAAAGTGGCCAAGGTTGGAGACCCCTGCATTACAATGTATCTCTGATCTTGAAATAGCTATTCCAGCTTTCTATTTATGTTTCGAAACACAGTTCTAAGTGCTTGACCTCTAAAGCCTTAGATAGTTCTGGATTCTTGAGCATTCTTCTCCCTTAATCTACTCTGCTGAATTTTAGATATGTTATCAGTGTTTCTCTGAAACCACAGCAATGTTAAGGAACAGTTTGGGGTATTCTGGGAGTTGAAGTCCACGCATCTTAAAGTTGCTGAGGTTGAGAAACCTACACCTGACCTACACCTTAAACTGACCTGGCAATCATTTCAACTCTAGTAGAACAAGGTAACATGCAAGCATCTTCTGAGCCACAACATGCTGCTCCAGCTGTGAACTCCATACCTTCTTCGAGGACTGTCCAACAGATAATGCACAGTAGTCAGACGTGCCTCCGTTCAAAACCCAAGAAAGAAAAACTCCCAACTCAATGTTTGTAGAGAAGAGGTACTTTTACTGAGCTTGAAATGATAGCAATGAAAGAAAAGCAAGATCTGAGCCAAAAGATGTGAAAGTTACATACTGAAAGTTTCCCCAAATCCCTCCCACCAGGGACCCAGGCTAAATGTCCAATCCCCATCCCATATGTGGGGCACATCTTCAGGTGTTTTCATCCATCTGGTATTCCGGGACGGTTGACCTTGACTGGGTATAAACAAGTCCATTCAGCTGCGCAGTAGCTCATGAGAGCATCTTTCCCTTTTTGTTCTTCACTCCAACTCACTTCCTCACCCAAAAACCAATCTTCCCCCCTTCCCCGTTACTATGGCAGCCGATAGCAAGCAAGCATCAAAGAAGCTGACACATTACAATAACTCAGTTGAGGGTTTAGTAGCACTACTGAGATCAGGTTATCTCCATCCAGAAATGGATGAAGATGACTCACTAGACAAAGTGATGCCTAGATCACCAAGCTTACATACATCTCCAGCTGTAATTTTGCATCCAAGAGCACACAAGGAAGAAAGTCAATTTATTCTCCATAGCGCCTGAGGGCAGGACAAGAAGCAATAGAGGAAGATCTTCAGAGGGAGATCCTACCTGGAACGAAGGAGAACTTTTTTGATAGTAAGAGCAATTAATCAGTGGAAGAGCTTGCCTCCCAGAGTTGTGGTTGCTCCATCACTGGAGGTTTTCAAGAAAAGGTTGAACAACCTTCTGTGTGGGATGGAATATGGACTCCTTCCTTAGGCATGGGTTTGGACTAGAAAACCTCCAATGTCTCTTCCAGCCCTATGATTCTATGATTTCCTTAATTCTCAAACCTGAGGTTGTGAAAGAAGTACCATCTTATTCAGCACTGAGGTTCAGGACAGTTCCTGGATTTGAGAACTGTTGAGCCAGAATTTTTGTCAGCATCACTCCCTTTCTTCAAGAAGCATTTGTCTACCTTCTACTGAAGGATGAAGATCTAGTGAGAAAATACTTCAGCAAATACTTGGGCTTAAGAATAGATGCCTATGGATCTATGTCTACTTCCTCAGGTCTCAGGAGCTGAAACTGATCCTGCATTAATTAATTAGATGGTACATTGACAGCTACTGCCAAATCTGCTTCAACTTTTGGCAGCCGTATGTGGAGCTGATGTCATTTGGTATGCAGTCTTTTTTAGCCTAGTAACCATGGTTCTGGGACTGCTACTTTTAGAGTGACTTGAGAATCTGAACAATGGGGAAGAGACAGGGGTGAAATGCTACCGGTTCGCACTGGTTGGGCGAATCAGTAGCGGTGGCAGTGTGTGGTTCGGCGAACTGGTAGCAACAGCAGCACGAGGCTCCGCCTGCCCATCCAGACATCATTACTTCCTGGTTTTAACAGGAAGTAACCTGTTTTTGACTGTCTGTACATGCACAGAAGCTTTGTGCATGCGCAGAGGGTCCAAAATCACATGTGATGCGCATGCATGCGTTGAGCACACTTCCGAACGGGTAGGGAAGGTAAGAGATAAGTAGATTTCACCCCTGGGTACAGAGTTCCTCCCTCCCTCCCTTCCTTCCTTTTCTTCTATATAAAATCAGAAGTTTCCATGCATATGGATGGCAAATGAGTTAGGAATTGGGAATTATGAAAATAGCTATCATGAACGGCTTTGTTTGAGTTCAATACTTTATACTTGGAGCACTTATACAACTATTACTGTATTAACCCATTTGCTGGATGCGCACAATATCTTGATCCATAAGCTAATCAGATGGGCCAAGTTCATACAAAACAAATAGTGTTGTTGTTATGTTAATGTTTAATGAACATTAACTAAGCTTAATGGTTTGTGTGAATGTACCTTCCCTGGAAAATAGAATATACAGTAGCCATTATCTATTCTGAGTGAAATAGTATTTATTTATTTAGATTTCATATTTTTTAACCACCCATCTCCCTCTTTCTAAGGCCGAGGTGGCGCAGTGGTTAGACTGCAGTATTACAGCTACTTCAGCTGACTGCTAGTTCAGCAGATCAGCGGATCAAATCTCACCGGCTCAAGGTTGATTCAGCCTTCCATCCTTCCGAGGTGGGTAAAATGAGGACCCAGATTGTTGGGGGCAATATGCTATTTAGTATACTGTCTTTGGTGTAAGCCGCCCAGAGTCCTTGGAGAGTGGGCGGCATAGAAATATGAATAATAATAATAATAATAATAATAAAGGCTTTCAGAAGGCATGCCAGGAATTGAAGTGGGGCTGTCTACATAAAAAGCATGCAGTTTCCTTGGGTCTATGACAATTGGGTTGCCAATACATGGAGAACCACTTCTTCTTGTGCCATATCCGTCATTGGATATTGGCAATCATGTTAGCGATCCTATTTTTTATCAACAGCCGCATGAAAAAGTGCTGCTGAGTTTTGTCCAAACCAGTCCAGATTTTGAAAACTACTAGATACCAGCAAAGGACTTCCTGTAGCTCTTTGCTGCCATCTGATGGTCATGCATATTTTTGCAGAATGGATATGGTAATCCTAACTGAGCTATGACCCTCCTTCTGTTCAGTGGGGGCAGATAGCAGAGACAAGCTGATTTCCTCGCTCCTTCCAAGAAGACTGCACTCTGAAAATGTTAATTTAAATTACCAAGGATTTTTCACTTGGGTGACAGCTCAGATAAAACATGCAGATTGTTCAGTTCTATTAACTGGAGGTGCCAACTTGAAGCTAGGATTTTTGTGGGCCAAGTTGAAAAACAACTCCTGAAGAATACACAAGTTCATCTAACTGATAACTCCAATTAACAGCATGGCTCTAATACCCACAATAAGCAAAGATTTCTACAGAAGATTCTTTAATTAATTAGAGTGCAACTTTGATAACTTTGCATGCAATTTATTATTGAATTATGGTCCTTTGTTGTGAAGCAAATTTAGGAGGAAACCTTATGTAGATTTTTTTTTTAGCTCTGCCAGTCCATAATCTTTCTTATCACCTCCTTAGGATACTGATAACTTGCATATTTTACTTCTTGAACCTGTTACACAGTGGACTAATCTGGTCTCCCAGTGATACCGTATACATAAAAATGAAGATGTAAAATAAAAAATATTAAAAGCAATTCTAAAACAATATATTGTTAAATGCTTTTTTCAAAATATACCTTTCAGGACCCTTTTTAAAGGATGAGAAAAGGATGAGAAAGAGCTACAGTAGACATTCTCAATTCAGTAGGAAGTATGTTCCAGTATCCCAGAGAAGCATCTAAAGCAAATACTCAGCTCAAGATAAACTGCCTTGAATGGGGTGTGTGTGTCTGAAAGGATTAAATAGCAGGAAATAAATTGGATCCAAATCATGGAGGTCTTTACAGGAAATAAACACCTTATGTCACTGTGATACACATTTCTAACTAGGGAGATGCTTTCCACACAAAAAACTGATATTTATTTGCAAGGCTTATAGAGCATACCATTCATGCCAAGAACAATTCCCCGATATGTAATTGTAATCAAGAAAACATACAATCGGTTTAAAAAACAGCCACTAGAATATGGGAATCACCAATAAAAAATATTATCAATAATGAAAAGAAAGCTAATCTCACCAGAAGACAATTACCTCAAACAAACCAAGAGGCCTGGTGTCAGGGTTCCAGGTAACACCCCCAATGAAATCAAACTCTGAGGCTTGAAGTTCCTCAAAGCTAACTTTTATTAGAGATGTCATATTGGCACATCTGGGAAAACCCGAATCTGAGAGCTTCCGGGTTTTCCACACCCAAAAGAAAGTTCAGGACCTTGCCCTTCTCCCACATATCCACCACACATCCAATCAGGTACCATCCGGAACAGAAGATACCTCCTCATGCTTCTCAACACAGCTGCAGGGCACCATGGCCTTGACTTCCTATAAAGAATTTTATTGTGACTACGTATCTTCTTCCCTCTAGCAATCCCCCCTCCCAATTTCCCACAGTAGGATTTGTGGCAGGCCTGAAGCCTGAAAGCACAAAGGTAGAAAGATGGCTTCCAGGTCTGACA